CCCTAAACCCTAAACCCTAAACCCTAAACCCTAAACCCTAAACCCTAAACACAAACCCTGCTCTTTTCGAGTACAGGATCTGGAGTCCGTGAATGCTCAGCTCGAGAAGCGAATCGTCCTGGGACTCAGTGCTGGTTGGTTGCCATAGTAATACTCATCACAGAGCAATTAGTACAGCTGCTGGAGCTCATATTCTTGATAGGGATAGTAAAAATTCTCTAATCACAGCCAAGCTTTTAAGTGCCACTTCATAAACGTATCTGAAGCAAGGAGCAGGTGCAGGCCGACATCGCAGCCCTGCGCAAGGCAGCGCAGCGTTGTGGTCAACATGCAGCCCCATATGGGGGTTTACGAAAAGAAGGGACCCCGAATATAGACCCCCCGATAGTATATAGGATCCCCTTAAGAAGAACCCCAATAACGTACCCCTAAAATCGTAAACCCCCATATCCAGAGATGCAGTGGGGGTTGCAGGGCACCGTGGATCTTCGAAGTGAGGAAGATCTCATGCGAGAGGCACATGTCGCACTGAGTGTGCCATGCAGGTGACACGAGCACTGTGCCATTTGAGAGAATCTGAGAGGTCATCGTCACACAAAGTGAGCAGCTTCTGCGCAAAGCCCGGATGCTTAGCTGAGTCGATGGCTGGCGTCGGTACTGTTTTGTGAAGTCCTAAACCCTAAACCCTAAACCCTCAACCCTCATGAGCGCTGGGCAGGTAGAAGACCTCACAGCTGAAGAGAAACTGGCCGCCGAAGATCGGAGGTCGGCCGGGCTTTTCGGGTCTATAGGGTTTAGGGCTTCGTCGGGTTTAGTAGGGTTTCTAGGGCTTATAGGGTTTCTAGGGTTTAACCCAGGTGACAACAGCAAGTAGCAAAAGACTGCTGTCGATCTGTACATCATCTGAACATCTGTCGCATGAGGCTTTCATAGTTGGAGGCCCTTTCTTACTATTTTTGCTCAAGAACCCCGAAAAGTGAAAAGATAAGTTCCTCATTTCAATGTGTTGGGGGGTTCTTAAGCAAATAGTAGTTGCTAGAACAATCTCCGCCCGATCTGCACTTATGGCGCAGGCACTTGTTGGAAAGGGCAGCCCGCCTCGCATCTGAGGCCATGGACGTAGCTTTGAAGATCAAGATTTAGGGTTGGGATGCTCCCCCTTATGCTAACAGTACTCTAAAAGTCCTGAATAGGGATCCTAGTACCCCCTATCATAGTCCCGCTTCAGGACTGCTAGTAGAAGGGGAAACATCCCAAATTTAGGGTTTAGGCTACTGGATCAAGAGCTTGAGGCCATGTCCTTTGCACCTTTCTGCGGCCCTAAACCCTAAACCCTAAACCCTAAACCCGAAACCCAAAACCCTAAACCCTAAACCCTAAACCCTAGCCCCCAAACCCTAAACCCTATACCCTAGACCCCAGACCCTAAACCCTAAACTTTGCAGGTGGAGCGAGCCGAGGCTCGCATAGCAAAGCAGTCGGAGCTCGAGGACGATTGTGGCCAGAGACGTGCGCAGAGCCATGATTCTATTGTTAAGGGTTTAGGGTTTAGGGTTTAGGGTTCAGGCCATTCTGATAGTGTCAAAATATCATGATATACTAGTTTAACGCATGCGGTATACCCTGCCATACCTCGCCATACCTCTAAACAACACATGTGGCAACTTCAAATTATGGTCCCTTTGTCCTTACAAAGGGCCCAAAATTTTGAGAGCTGATGAAACCGATAGGCACTGCATGGGTATAGAGTCCTGAACCTCCCAGTTCCCCTTTTCAACCCATCCTTCTCTCCTGGTAGTGTGCTGACCCTGAACTCTAAACCCTAAACACTAAACCCTAAACCCCAAACTAAACCTTAAAGCCATGTACCTCTGAAAAAAAACATGACCAAAGTTTCCACGGGGTGGATGCGGGCGTCCATCGAGGGTCACATCCAAGCCTCAGAGGTCAGGGAGGAGGTACGTTGACACCCTACACCCTAAACCCTAAACCCTCAGCCCGAAACCCTAAACCCTAAACCCCAAACCCTCAACCCTCAAGCCTCAACCCTCAACCCTAAACCCTCAACCCTCAGCATCCTTTGCTGCTTCCCTTTCCCAGGAGCAGTGTGCTCAACTCGATGCTGCGCAGCAGACCCTGAGCGCCTTGAACGCTCAACAATGCTTTCGGCTCTTCGCTAATAAGGTGTTTCCGGGTTTAGGGTTTAGGGTTTAGGGTTTAGGGTTTAGGGTTTAATTAGGGTTTAGGGCAAATTCGGGGTACCTTAGTGGGGTCCTTTTATGAGGGAATCCTACTATTTGGGGGTGTGTTTTTGGGATCTCTTATCTTCGTGAACTCCCATATGGTAGCAAGAGAAGCCAATGACACTACATTAGAATTGCAGAATGATATATGATAGAGCAATAATACAATATTGTTAAAATATAACCATATAGCAACATTATATACATATGTATATATATATATATAGACATATGCATATTGTGTGTATATATATATATATGCGCATGCTAGTGACTGCTGCTGTTGGCCCTTCCCTTCCCTTCCCTTCCATGGAGGTGCAGAAGTCGAGCGGCTTCGTCGGACCAACGATGCCTTGTGTCAGCAGGTTGGGGCACATAGATACCGCTTGTTGTGTCTCCGGAGGGCAGTTCTCTCTAAATTAGGGTCGCTTTCTGGGGTCCTTAATGTACTCTATATAGATATATATCTATATATATATATATCTATCTATCTATATATATATATATATATTTTTTTTTTAGAGGACACAAAAGAAAGGGACACGAATTTCAAGAACTAGCTACCCATCGCCATAGCGACATCCGCAGGTGTTGGGTTCGGATGGCGAGGCTCTGGGCGCAGTTACGCTGATGTCTCTCTGCATCTCCCAAAGAGCCCAATACCCCTTAAATAAGGAATATACCCTTAAATCATATTCCTTAGGATCCCTATATAATTTAAGGTATATTCCTTAGGATCCCTATATAATTTAAGGTATATTCCTTAGTTAAGGGGTATTGGGCTCCGTGCATCTCGGGGTGCTATTTCCTTTGCTTCTGCCAGGGCCCTTTTGCAGGCGCGCTGCAGGAGGCGGGGTTTAGGGTTTAGGGTTTAAGGTTTAGGGTGTAGGGTTTAGGGTTTAGGGTTTAGGGTCTCTCACTGCCAGGTTTCCTTGCTAGACGGAGAGGAGGACCAGGCGATGCGTGATGAGATCGGTCGATTGGTCACTTTCTCAGCTGTGAGATGCAAGCTCAGACACCCGCTCCAGGGTGTGCCAGAAGAGGGTTTTTAAAACCGCTAAGAAGATGGTTTTCAAACAGCCCTAAGAAGAGGGCTTTTCACCCTGAGAAGAGGGTGTTTTAAACCCCCTCTTACGTGGCTGTGGTGTGCTTGTGGTCGCGATCGCTGTGATGCTTAGGTCCGTGGGCAGCTCCTCCTCACAAGCCAATCTGGAAGCGTGAAGGCCAACGCGCAAGTGAAATCCCCCAAGCCCTAAACCCTGAACCCTAAACCCTAAACCCTAAACCCTAAACCCTAAACCCTAAACCCTAAACCCCAAACCCCTAAACCCAAAACCGCATCGTGTGACTTCCTGCACCCTTGGCCAGGGGGATGCAGCTGCTCTTGCCTTGAGACTGCAGCAGCTCCTTGCTGAGCGCGAGGAGGTGACCAGCAATCCATGTGTTTAGGTTTAGGGTTTAGGGTCTGGGGTTTAGGGTTTAGGGTCTAGGGTTTAGGGTTTGAATCGTTCCACCCCCGCTCCAACCCAATTGTGACAAACCTGAGGATTCTAGGCCCCGAGACCCGACGTTGCCTGCTTCTCACCAACGTTGGATGCCGAAGTTTCCTGTGTGAAGCTGGACAGCAGCGTAGCCATAGTCACTTGTGTTTTGGGCTCAAAGCACTGAAGCGCAACACTTCGCAATGGCGTGTGTCAAAACGACATCAAGGGGCATCAAAACCACCATCCCGGATCCAGCTGCAACTCCAAATGCGCATGAGTATGAGGGCTTCGTCTTTTGTGTCGGCGCTGGTATCCAGCTGATTCTATGCATTGCCCTGACATGGAAGTCAGCGAAGCGTGCAGACAATTCCTTGTCAGACGTTTTCCACACTCTCTTCTTCCTGTTTGGATGTTTGGGATATGGTTTCTATGGGTATGCAAGTTTTGCCATGGTTGCGGGTGAGAATGTCTTCACAGTCCTCTCCAAGCTGAGCATGGTGGCTTCATGGGCTTCTCTGCTCTTGAATGGCTGTTGCCTACTGGAAACATTCTTGCCACAGAGGCTGCCCAGAATCCTCTTCGGTCTCTTCAGCATCGTTCTCATCGTGGCTGCCCTGACCGGAGCTGTCTTGCCTGGTGGCTATATGCTGATGACATATTCATTTCTGACCGTCATGTGCTTCACATGTGCAGTCTCTTGGGCTCTAGCAGCATATCTTGGGCGCAAGCAGCAACGTTATCAGTGGGCGTACACCGCGAAGGCCATGGGTGCCGCCATGGGATCGGTGGCCTTGCTTACCGCTGCAATCTTGGAACCTATTTGTGGATATTCTGCCCATTCGCCAAGTTGCTATGAAGGTTGCGAGATGCCTAGCGTTCACGTGCTCATGCTGCTGGTTTTGCTGCTGTTGACTTGGCTCTTGCTTGCCTTGCAGCAGTCTCGTTCGCCTGATGATGCCGCCATTCCAAAAATCTCACGTGCACCACCACCGCGAGAGGTCGTCCCCACTTCTCAATTGCCGAATGCTTGAGAGCCTTGTCGAATCCTGTCGATGCTTTCCTTGGGAAGCAAGCATTCCAGCGGAATATCCGCGGGAATCGTTTTTAACTGTGTTTTACAGGGTGCCTCGAGATGTTTCGACCACTGCATGGAGAACAGTTGCCCGATGAGGGTCAAAGGCTTGCCCAATGAGATGCTGGAGGGTGGAGGTGTTTGACAGTGAGAAGTGCCAATACTCGGCTCCTACCCCAAACATCAGAGTATCTCCAAGAGAGCGCCCTCGGGTAGACCCTAAACCCGACAGAGACCCCAAACCCTCGACCGTAAAACCTAGCCCTAACCATCCTCGACCCTAGACCCTGAGCCCCAGCCCGTCCCCCCCCCCCCCCCCCCCCCCCCCACAACCCATCACAACCCTACGTCAAAACCCCAAAACACCAACCCTTACCTTCAAAACCACAGCCCTCAACCCTCCACCCTAAACCCCTAAACCCTAAACCGCCCAAAAGCCCTAAGCTTTGAAGGCATTCTGGGTGGAACGCCAGCGCCTCTCCGACCACATATCCTCCCTGGAGCGCACCCAGAATGGTCGCCTGGACCTTGGGTTCGATTTATTTCTCGCATCTCTCTGTCTCTCCCTCGCTTTTTTGTCTTCCTCTCCTTGAACCCAAAAGCTAAAACAGCGCAGCCCGGCAATTCCCAGGAGAGACCGAGCAAAGATACCCCTAAGGCACCAGCAATCTCCTGCGACAGTACGACGCGGCTGTACGTGCTTCTGGTGGCAGTGGGTTGCATGCTCAGAAAGCACACGCTTGGTCTATTGCCACAGGTGGTAGACCTCTCTCGGTTGCACAGCAAAGCGCTGCCGTGAGACTCCATGCTGCTCAGCGTGCCCGTGGAAAGTTACTAGAAGGGCGTGAGAGATACCCAAATGTCTTCATAGCTCATAGGCCATGAGCCCGTCGTCTGATGGCGGTTACGTGCATGATGTGCCATCAACAAAATTGCGTTGTAGGACCAAGTTCTCTTCTGTAAATCCCGGTTGAGAATTGAACTTTGTACTTGAACATCGAGATGGGATGGACGAGGGCAGCCCTGCTTCCCCTCGCGTTTGCAGCCGTTGGGGCGGTGGCTTCTTCCAACTGGATGGGGGAGAACTTCGAGCACCTCAGAGACAAGTCGTTGCTGGAGATTACGCTGCCCGGATCACATAACAGCGGCAACTACATGGGCGGCCTTCACGCCGACGTGCTGCTCAGCCTGCATGGACATCTGAGCTGCCGTGTCGTCGGTTGATGGCCCTTGCTTGTGACCGAGGCTCTGCCAGAGCGACTATCGCTACAACGAGTACCTAGCGTCCCCCAGCTCCCAGGCCCTTCTTGCGAAGGGCGAGCTCGTCTTCTCCCAGGCAGAGTTTGATCGCAGAGACTTGCCATGCAGATAGCATGTGCGGATATGTGCGGTTGTTCCAGCCGTCCGGCTCGCATGGCGCGCTCTCGCGGAACGTATGAGGAGAGCTGTCGAATCCTTAATTCAAACACCAACCACTGGGGTGATCTGGGGTGTTCGGATTCGGTCTGGGACATTCTCTGTTCAGAGTCACAGCCGTCCGTGCACCATGTTTAAGTCTGTAGGGGGCGCCCCAATATTAGGAAGCAGGAGCCTAGGTCTCAGAAAGTTCTTGGGACACGGGCCTCATGTGTGATGCAGGGCTGGTAATTACACTGTTTCGCCTCAGGAATGATCCCATGGAACATCAATCACTTCCGCCCCATCAAGTCTCAGCTTCGGGAAGATGGAGTCCGTTTCCTGCACCCCCGCCCTCTGAGTAGTTTTTTTTGACAAAGGGGCGCTAGACCCTAAACCCTAAACCCTAAACCCTAAACCCTAAACACTAAGCCCTAAACCCTAAACCCTAAACCCTAAACCCGCCCCCCGCCCCCCGCCCCCCCCCCCCCGCCTCCCGCCCCCCGCCCCCCGCCCCCCTCCCCCCGCCCCCCGCCCCCCCCCCCAGCCCCCCCCCCCCCCCCCCCCATCCCCCCGCCCCCCCCCCCCCGCCCCCCCCCCCAGGCACTTGAAGATCTGCAACTTCGGGAAGCCAGGCAAGATTCCGATAGAACTTAAAGCCTCGGTCGGGGGCTGGTGTCTGCGGTTTCGGGTTTAGATTTTGGGGTTTAGGGTTCTAGGGTTAAGGGTTAAGGGTCAGGGTTTAGGGCACAGAGTTTAGGGCATGCCAGGTGTTTCACTAACATGGGAGAGCTGCAGAGTGCCAGTGTTTTTTGGAATTGAATGCTCGTTTGTCGTTTTTGTTGGCTGTCGTGGTCGCCGTTCGTCAAGCTCTCTTGAAGTGAGAGTGGAGTGGGGCCCCGAAGGGACCCCGAACTGCTTGCCAGTGTTCACTTGCATCAGTGCGAGCTTTCGTTCCCCTGCCCGGCTTGATCCCCACGCAGCAGTACTGTAACAGTCACAAGGGTCACAGAAGGAGTTAACGAGTGCAGTCAGACAGCCGAACTTCCAGAGAACACAGAGAAGTGAGTCAAGTCCCAGCAACAAAGGGCTTGGCCATGATCTCAACCGACGGTAAATACACTCGCTGTCTGTGGTTCGGCTGCAGGCGAACGCTGCCATCCAAACCTCATCGCAATCGCCGCTAATGTATACCAAATAGATTTACACGTAGTATCATAACATCATATACAATATTCTATATACATGATAGCCTTATGCTACATTGGCACTCTGGATTTCATCTTTTTTCTTTGCTTTGTATCGTGCGCTTGGCAGGTGAGCTCTTTCGCGAATCAGCTGATCACTTCATTTAAAGAAAGGGAATGTAGTAGCAGCCTTAACCGAAACGAAGCCCTTGGCCCTTAGCATCCCTTGACCATAAACTCGGTGGGCATGGAAGTACCTTGCCGCCTTGCCTGTGGTTTCAGATCTAGAGTCGCGCGCTTGTGCATGATGGAATCGTAAAGGTTTAGGGTTTAGGGTTTAGGGTTTAGGGTTTAGGGTTTAGGGTTTAGGGTTTAGGGTTTAGGGTGTAGGGTGTAGGGTTTAGGGTTTAGGGTTTAGGGTTTGAGTAGGGATTTGGGACTTTAGGCGTACTCCATGCTTTTGGAGGTGACGCCGTGGACTTGGGAGCGGTGCGGTTCCAGCATCGTGGATACACGACGGATGAGACAGTGGCCCGTCTTCACGCACATCTATCGGGTTTAGGGTTTAGGGTTTAGGGTTTAGGGTTTAGAGTTTAGGGTTTAGGGTTTAGGGTTTAGGGTCCAGCAATCCGTTGACGTGGCTGAGATTTCACTTGGCATCGCCCTTCAGTACTATGTTTTCGTCCATCGCCCAAGTCTAGCGCCAGAGTTTGTACTTCTCGAGTAGCGAGCGTGGCAAAAGCTCGGATGCGCAGCACGCGGCAAGGTACTGTCAACACTACAAGATATTCTGCAGTTTCTGGCGCAGCACCCTAGGGAGATTGACGCCTGGCAGCATCGGTGTTGTGGGACTGCACATGCACATATATGGCAAGAAGAGATCGATGCCGCTCTCCTGCGCAGTTGGCCATATGAGAGTGATTTGTTCATCCAATGTTTGCCGATCCCGAGGTACTCTTGGGCTTCAACAACTTGCACAACAACGCCTCCAAGGTGTTTGGCGCAGCTGATGTAGATGCTCTGACGGTGGCCCTCGAGACGGCGGCAGGCGCGAAGCAAGAAGCTACCAAGACAGAATGACGCAAGAATAGCGTGGAACAACATGGAACTGGAGAGTGGGTAGGTCAACCTAAGCCCTAAACCAGAACACAAGGTTTGTGGGATTTCGTGAGGCCGCTGCACATGAGACTCTTGCTGGCAGGTCTTAATCCGAGCTCCTGTTTAATTGGTGGGGGGCCCCCCCCCCCCCCCCCCACAATAAGGAAAGCAGGGTTCCGCAATAGTTGGACCATGGCCCCGTATGGTTTCTCTATCTTAGCAGAAGAAAAAGCTTTCCGAAAGGCAGAGTTTCAAAATTTGACAACCCCCCCCCCCCCCCCCCAAAAAAAAACAAAAATTCTTTAAATGTGGAGGGTTTGGCCCATACGAAATCCATCGTAATGGAAAGTAGTCTTCCGGCGGGAATCCGGGCAAAAAAAACTCTTTAAATATGGGGGGTTAAATTAAACAGGAGCTCGGATTAACATGTAGCCAGTTCTCTAAATTGGGTGCCCTTATAATAATAAGCCTGAAAATATGGGGCGCCCGATAACAAGGATGATGGTATTTTGGGGTATATTGAGAGGACCCCTATGTCCATTTCCACATCTGTCCTTCGGCATCCATCAACGATATAATTTCGTGCGTGAATGAACGAAACCCACCAAAAGCCTGCTAACATATGGGTTTACAAGCGCGCGAAGAGAAAACGCTTGAACTTCATTTATTCTACCGGGTCTTTTACAACTGGACGATGAGGCAGAAACTGCCGCTGGACGCTATTAACCCAGCTCACGGAGCGCTTCTAAGGGTGAACCCTCCTTCCCATGGACTCTTCTGCTTGTTCCTTTCCTTCGTTCCATATTAAAGTGACTTGCGAAGAAACGCGCGAAATCATGCAAAATCGAACGAAAGGACAAAGACAAGGGGCAAAGCTCGTTTAAATTCTATTGAAGGCGCATGCATTCTCGTTTGAATAATTTTAGTACGATTTTAATGTGGGTTTTTTTGGGAGATTCCGGAAGGTTAGACAGGCGGTTGGGGTCCCAAGGGTGGGTTCCTTGTCAAGAGAGTTCCTGTCATGTAGAAGGACTCATGATGGTACGGTTTCTCAGATTTTTCAGACCCTAAACCCTAAAACCAAAACCCTCGGAAATTTGCGGTCTTCGCCTAAACGAAAACCACATTGCATGAAATTTCTGCGAGCACATCTCAGGAATCTTTTCGGGTCTTGTGAAGCTACACCCTGTGTTGACAAAAATCACTTAAAGTCTGCCTACGAAACCATTCACCAGATTTGAAGCAATGCACCTGCAGGAGAGACGATGATCAATGAGAAGGAGCTGTTTAGCAAAACCCTGGGTGAGCTGGTGGATATGGGCAAGCGGCTCGCTGTGCCGTGGCAAGGGAAGATCTAGCTGCATTGTTTTTTTGAGGGCTTGACTAAGTTCTGTGATTCACCTGCAAGCTAGGTATTCGTTAAAGGCGCCCGTCCGAACTCCCGCGTGATCCGTAGCGAGCTGAACTTGGCTGAGAACTGGGCGGCTTCGATGGCCAGCGGTAACCTATCAGCTGCAAAGGACTGGCTTCTGCAGGACCTCAAATCGCAAGCCACACGACGCGCTCAGTACTACGTCATGCAGGCAAATCCCAACAATGCAGAGTCGCTGATGTACGAGGCTATGAATTCCGGCAACGGGCCACAATCAAACTTGAGATTTTTGGAGGGCTTCCTCACAGACCTAAGGAGCCTCGTGCTTGGTGCCAGGCAACAGGAGCCCCAAATTCAAATCAACGTGATCGACACAGACTTTCTTTCCATCAGTCAGCCGTATCAAATATGTATGCAGTTGATGGGGTTCTCTCCAAGCTTGGGGAGCTCTCCAAGCTTCACTGAAAGCCCCGATTTGACCTGGCGATGGCTTCTTCGCTTGTCTTTGATGCTAGTCAGCGCTGGACTTCTTGTCTGGACCTATCGCGCATGCCGGACGCCAAGTGGGTATCAACGTCACACGTCCTAAGAGTGGTCCGGAACGTCGTTTTCTGCGTACCTTGGTGTCTGCAACGCCTGGCAACCTCCTGCTCTTGAGAGACTCGAGTCTCGAGTATCCCATTGTATCCCACAAGGGCATCAAAAAAGCAGCCAAGCTGTGCCCGCCTCAGGCTTGCAGACTGTCCAGACTCGGGACCGGCGAGCCTTTGGCATTCGAATGCATTCGACAGCGAAGTCCGCGTGAGGGTTGGGAGATGTTGTGACGTAGCTCGGGGCTGCAATGGCGGCGGACAGGAGCTGGATCGAGACCTCTTGAGTACACCTTGTGTTGACAAACAAAGGAGGCGGCGTAAAAGGCTTGATCTGCATGCTTGCAGTGCAGTGCAGTGCAGTTCACTTGCAGCTGACCTCGGTGCCTTTTGCCAAACTGAGCAGCCCGAGGCCAAAGGCGCCTGGCTTGGCCGGGGCTCCCGCCGCTGCAGCAGCGGCAGCACCTTCGCATCAATTTCTCTCCAATTGTGCAGTGGGCAGTTCTCCCCAAGCCTAAAACCTAAACCCTAAACCCTAAACCCTAAACCCTAAACCCTAAATGCAGCCGCCATTGATCCGTTTCACTTACTGAACGAACCCACCGGCTTCATCAGCCGGTCGGCCCCCAACCCGGCACCCGAAACCCCAAAGCCTGAACCCTCCCAAACCCCAAGAAGGGACCCGAATCTAGAGACCCAATATCCGAACCCTAAACCGTAAACCCTAAACCCTTAACCCTTAAACCCTAAACCCCCCAGGGTTGAAGCAGCTGCTTGCGGAGGCTTAGGCCAGGAGGCTCCCAGCATTCTGACATGAAGGGGGGCTTAAGGGGGTCATGAGGGCGCTGAATGGCGCTAAAAAGGGGGCTGGCTTAAGGGGGGCTTAAGCCACGGCCCAGAAAGTGTTCGAACGGATCGGGCTTTAGGGGTTTAGGGTTGAGGCTTTCAGGCGTTTGGGGCTCAAGGGGTTAGGGTTTCGGGTTTTCGGGCTAGGGGTTTAGGGGTTTAGGGGCTGAGGTCACTGGCGTTGCCCGTCGTCTACGACAGACGATTGGTGCCTGAGTTGTCGTCTCATGAGCTGTTGACGTCCGTTGCAGGTTCGACATGTGCACAAGACGCCCTGTTCAGGCGGTTGTAATGCGTCTTTAGTGCCTCTTATGTTTCAGAACATATCGTGTATGTCACGATTATGTGACGCATTCTGCAATGTAATGGTGGTTGATAGGAGTTGAGCAGCCACTTCACTCGCAACAAAGTTTGCACCACACTGGCAAGCCCTGGCATAAGACCGTACAGGTTTGTGGCAGCCTCGGCTTGATTTTCCAGGTACCTCGACGCATGGACAAAAGATCAAGGGTTTAGGGTTTAGGGTTTAGGGTTTAGGGTTTTGTTCGGACCGTCATTCGAGTCAAGTCGTGCGTTTTCGGGTTTTGTGTGTGCACAAGGCGACGGCCTGTTGTTCGTGCTTGCGACATTTTGGTCAAAGAACGTGTTGGCTTCGTCTTTCGGCTCCCGATCGGCTTCTCTGAAGTAACGAGCGACGGTATCTGGAACTGATCCAGTCTTGGAGGCGGGGCGAACCAATGGAACCTAATTGAGGGCATTCCGCACAAAAGAACTGACCGGAGTCCTCCCTGCACAGGAAGCCCTCAACATGGCTGGAGGGCCCGCTTCTCTCTCAGCCTCAGTCGCTTGGGTGCGCTGCTAGTCATGTCGACGTTAAGTCTTCGCGAGGCCACTGCCTTCATAGCTCCCAATAGCGGGGCGCACCGTCTTGCTGGCTGCCCAGGATGTTGCCAAGTGCTATGTTGCGGGAGAGAGCTACCAAGCCTCTTTTATAGCATGTTCTTAAACTCGAAGGCGAGGCGACATGTCTGCTCCGTTGTGTTGAGGTGGCTCCGGCTGTTGAGCCAGCATCTCCCTGTGCTGGCGACCTAGACGTCCACCTGGTTGGAACATTGCTGCCGAGTGCCCTTGTGACTCATCCGAGGTGTCAGCAAATCCTCGTGGTCACAGCCAGGTGTGTATTTAGAGACACTCAGTTTAGGGTTTAGGGTTTAGGGTTTCGAATGTTCCGCATGTCCCTCCAACGCTTAAAAAAACCGGTGTCGCGGTGTTGCATCCAGCCCCCCCGCAGGCTGTGACAGCAGCCGTTGCCGGCTCTGCGCTGGCCGTCCTGGCGCGCAGCGGTCCTGATCTTATCTTCGATTTCGGTGGACTCGAGAGTATCGGCTGTTGAGATGTAAGCGCCGCAAGCGAGCTGCTACCGGTGAGTCGCATGACAAGGCAGCAGGAAGAACCGGCGACATGCACGTAAGGCACGTGCGATCCCCTTCTGCGCGTTCATGTGAGGAGTGATATGAGATATGATACGTTTCTCTGCAGGACGTGCGAGTCGTTGCAGCCCGCAGTGGCGTTCCTGAAGGCTTGGGCGAACAGCGAATGGCCGGAGTGGACTGGCAGTTGCAATGTGGGCCACACAGCGTTAGTTGCAAATGGAAGGCCTTCATGGACACCACATCGCACGCAAGATCCCTCTCTGAAACCTCATGCAGCTTGCCACCAACCTAAGCCCCGAGGCCTTCCCCTAAGCCTCACGGCAATAGTGGAAGACGCAAGGAACAATGACGAAATGCAAGGCCCTGCTGGTAACAGAAGGCCCACATGGGCAGTGCAAGGCGTAGGAAACGGAGTTTAAGAATTCATCAAGGGCCCCATGATGGAGAAACCTCTAGCCAAGTGAATCCCTTCATTCTAGGTTTGCATGCTGTACTTTGCATTTGGTCATGTGTTTTGCTGGGCACTTAGCTCTCCTCCTCTCTTTGCGTTTGCGGCATTGTCAAAGCCGTAAATTCTCACTTTCACGGTCTTTGCAGAATCTGGCTTCGTGCATTACCTGTTGCAAGCTGCCAGGCGTCTATTGCGAGGCGAAGGAAAAGTGTGAGCGTCGCAAAACTCGTACTGCCAGGAACCTCGCTATGTAGGTAGGGAAGGCAGGTGAACGGCAGCTCGGCTGGCTTGAGTGACAAGGTCTATGTGGGCGAGGTGCCTGTCGGTTCGGAGCACCCCATTGCAACTCAGACCATGTGGAAGCCTTTGTCGGAGCGCGATTGCATCCTCCGTAGGTTCTCCAGATATTCCACGATCAGCGCCTGTTGGCTGAGGACAACGACATTGACACATGATGTGGAGGCCACTGTCGCCCAGGCGCGACCTACTTTGCGCATCAAGCATTGTAGAACGAACTGTGTATGTGATGGCCGGGAGAACAGATAGCCAGGTCAAGAAGTGCGCAGACATGGGCATCGACATTGCCTGGAACTCACGCATGTCGTGAGCATGCCATGTGCTGATGCCAAGTTGTGCCAAGTCTTGCCAACTCGTGCTACTAAAAGCTCTGGGTTGCTGTGCAGGTGCGCTTGACTGTCCAGGGTATGTGGCAGACTCGGCTAGCGCACCTGGGCGTCACGATTTGATGAGTGCACTGAGCTGAGGAGAGAAGCAAAAGCTTGCGAGCACATCAAGAAGCGCCTGTTGGAAGATGGTCATGCCCCCCTTTTTCAGAGGTGTGTTTGGTGACGTTCTGTATGGAACTGCGTCCAGGATACAAGACCCCTCTTGTTGCCGACATCCATTTCACACCCAAAGTCGCCTTGGTCTGTGCTGACTTCGTGGACAAGGCCAGTGCAGACCATTCCTAGTCGTAGTCCCTTCTCTAAAACTTCCCTCGCGAAGTACAAAAGGTGCGCGTCAACCCTGGCAACTTTGCAGATGGTGAGAGCCTAAGCGCCCTGGAACTCCTCTCTTCGCTTGCCTTAAGGCTTAAGCCCCTACTCCAGGCCGCAAGTCATTTGACACCATTGACGAGCTGTCGGAGGAGGAGAGACATCTGTATGTCCTGAAATTGAACGTTGTCATCGCACGGCTCCTTCGGAACGGGGCCTAGGGCTTTCCACAACCTTGCAAGAGGCCAACTCCTACTTCTCAGGGTTTGGCAAGAGAACAGACTCGCTCCGCCTACCTCTGAGGGCGGCGCAAAATGGCGCAAAAAGTTGTCATCTGGCAGGATGTGCAGGAAGCCAAGGATGCCATTGAGGAGGCGCTGACTCCCTTGGTCTTGCTCCCGGTGGTTGGATGGTCAAGCAACATGGGTCACATCACACACGTCTAGGGGTTTCGACAGTTCCGACACAGCGGAGTCCATGAACACGGACTGTGTTGCTGAGTTGAGGTCCTGAAGTTAAAGGAGCAGAACAAGTCTATGCGTATCGGCTCGCATGCTCAGCACGAGACGGCCCAATTGAAGCCTGGCAGTCCATTTAGGTTGCCCGAAGAAGCGGCACGCTTTCCTAAGGTGTGAACCATGGATCTTTGGCCGAGCGCATCCTTTTTCAGTACGGGGATTCGTGCTGATCTCAAGCAAATGTTGCATCAGATGTGAGGCATTGAGCGAACTCCTTCGATCCCACACCATTTCGCTTGTTTTCCCTAAACCCTAAACCCTAAACCCTAAACCCTAAACCCTAAACCCTAAACCCTAAACCCTAAACCCTAAACCCTAAACCCTAAACCCTAAACCCTAAACACCTTTTGGAGTGGCGAAGCTCATGGCATCCACCAGGCCTGAAGGTATGGTGGCATCGGCGATTGAGTTCGGAGAGATATGCCGAAAGCACGACTTCCACAATTTCATCTTCAGCACTGCCCTCGGCTTCAGGGATCCGGTGAAGGTGTGCCCCAAGCCCTAAACCCTAAACCCTAAACCCTAGACCCTAAACCCTAAACCCTAAACCCTAAACCCGAAGCCCCGTCTTCTTGGATTGCAGCCTTGCAGGACACTCCAAGCCAGCACGTCGTGCCTGATAAGTCTGCCGAGGTATGAAGTCTTCGAACCCACAAGTCATGGCCGGGGCCTCGCATGGGTGAAGCACACAAGTTGCGTTAGGGTTTAGGGTTTAGGGTTTAGGGTTTAGGGTTTAGGGTTTAGGGTTTGGGGTTTAGGGTTTAGGGTTTAGAGGTGGTCCAATGGCGCCGTAAGGTGAATGCCTACAGGCAGTTGGCGCGCGAGATGTACAAGCTCGGATGGGACTGAAGCCTTGGCATCGCTTAACCTTCGGCCTAAATATTGGGGTTTAGGATTTCGGGTTTAGGGTTTAGGGTCACAGTGCCGCAATTGGCGCGTGCTCTGTGCTAGGACTATCCCTTGCACCTCGGCGTCACCGAAGCTGGCGGCGGCTCCGATGGTGCCTGGCTCAGTCTAGCTAGGTTTTTGGGACATGTTAGATTTTCCCTTTTTGGGTGTTAGAGGATCATGTTCAGGGATATGTTTCAGGGGGTTTTAAGGGCCATCCTAGTTTAGGTTTAGTGACCCGCAGCCCGAAACCCTAAACCCTAAACCCTAAACCCTAAACCCTAAACCCTAAACCCTAAACCCTAAACCCTAAACCCTAAACCCTAAAGCCCGAAACCCTAAACCCAGGCCGAATCAAGTCGGCAGTTGGCATCGGAGCTCTACTCTTGGACGGCCTGGGAGCTGCACTCAGCGCTGGGCTGCGAGGGATGGCATCACAAATCATGTCATAGGGTTTAGGGTTTAGGGCTAGGGTTTGGGGTTTAGGGGGGTTTAGGGTTTAGGGTGGGTTTAGGGTGTTGAGGGTTTTTGGGTTTAGGGTGTTTAGGGTGTTTAGGGTTTCGGGTGAGAGGGTCTAGGATGTTCAGGGTTTAGGGTGAGATATGGGGGTTCCCGAAAATGGGGGGGGGGGGGGGGCGCCTTCTGGAAGTTTCAAGATTCCAGTGATTTTGGGGGTTACATTGGAAGTAGAGCCCCCAAAATAGTACCCTGTACTACTGGGTCATTCTTAGGAACCCTTAAAGGGATCTACTTTTTGAACCTCCCAGGGGTCTGGGTTAAGGGGACGTGCAAGTGAGGCTTCTTGATCTAAGGGGCAAAAGGAGGGGCCCGAAGAAGGAACCCTTAATCTTATTCCGCTATACTACCCTGAACCCTCAACCCTCAACCCTCAACCCTCAACCCTAAACCCTAAACCCTAAACCCTAAACCCTAAACCCTAAACCCTAAACCCTAAACCCTAAACCCTAAATAAACCCTAAACCCTAAACCCCAAATAAGTCCCTAAAGAACCCCCAAGGTCCCTTATAAGGATCCCTCCTTTAGTCCCTTGATTGTTGACACTGTAGGTGACACCATTCGCGTGTCCTTGACAGAGGATCCGGAGTTTGAGGCGAAACCCTGCGTTGCCCTGCGAGGCCTGGACGTTTAGGGTTTAGGGATATTAGGGTTTAGGGTTTAGGGTTTAGGGTTTAGGGTTTAGGGTTTAGGGTTTAGGAATCAGAGGGAGTAGATCTGAGTCTTTAGGTTAAGCCCGAGCAGGCTTCGCTTTTGCCATGAAAAGATCACGAAGGGATCCGTTTTCAGAAGGCTCGGTGGCCTCGCCCTAAACCCAAAGCCCTAAACCCTAAACCCAAAGCCCTAAACCCTAAACCCTAAACCCTAAACCCTAAACCCTAAACCCTGAACCCTGAACCCTGAACCCTGAACCCTGAACCCTGAACCCGAAACCTCCCCAAACCATTCCAAACCCGTTTGGACTGGGTTCTGACATGCGGCCTAGTCCCAGGCTCCCACGCTCGCCCTCATGATGTTGACTATTTGCTTAAGAGCCCCCAAAACTAAAAGACAAGAATCCCGACATTTCCCTTGTAAGGAAGAATATGTTGGTTCTGAAGCAAATAGAGGGATGAGACATGCCCTCACGAAAACTGGGTCCTTCATGGCATAGACAAGATGCCGCTGCCAGAAGAGCATGGGGTTTGCAAAGAGCGAACTCCATCTGATACATCCAGGGTGCCTCTGCATGCCAATGTTGCGTGGAACTGCGTGTGAACCCTAAACCCTAAAACCAAAACCCGAAACCCTAAACCCTAAACCCGAAACCCTAAACCCAACGCTTACTACTGCAGGCGTGGCAGAAGGTGCTCTTGGAAAGGCTTTTGCGTGTCGTTTTGCACGTGATTCACATCTTTGATGCTGAAGCATGGGCTGCAAGTTGCTGGCGAGGGCGTGAAGCCGTTTGAAGAGCACAGCGAGCGGAGGAACGGCCAGTTCTCTCGGCGCAAGCGCGGCTCTGAAGAAGCAGCATGCCACCACTGTTGAGCGTAGCTGCGTGAACTTCAGCATCGCATCCTTCGTCATCAGGTGCGAGTTTCCGATTGACGTGCCGCTCAACCAGGATGGTTCTGTGCTCGCGCGAATGTCAGTCAGCCACCCAAATTGCAGATCACAAGAGCAAGCCCGCCCATCAAAAATCGACCAGTTTTCATCAACTCAAGTGGGCAGCCAACCCTAAACCCTCAACCCTAGGGCCTTGTTTGTGTGGAAGCTCTTGCCGTAGCAAGTATGTCGCCACTGCGAGTTCTCAGAATATGGGTACTGCACCCCCTTATATACCCGAAAAATAGAAGCCCCAAAAACGGTACCCCTTCCTCCGGAAACCCATACTGGATGCTCTTTGGGAATCATGAATCCTTTCGAGCTTCACTTAGCATGGAGGTCCGGGTGCGAGCCTCAATCTGTATTTTTCTGAGCCATACAAAAAATTGTACAGAATTTCCCGCTATTTACAGTGTTTCTGACACTTGAGCTCAAATCCAGAAATGCGCTGGTTCCAACCCGAAACAAGTACTTTCATTATTTCTTGAACATCAAATAATCATCCCATGTCTATGCATGTCTATGTACATGAAATGAACAGAAAGGGACGCTATGAACATGTGCCTGGGCAAGCAACAAAAAAGACACTACTGTGCGTTACTCCACCCCCCCCCCCCCCCCCCCCCCCCCCCCACATATTCTGAAGTCTAGCGCTTTAAGCTTAAAACAAGCAGGGCTACCAATTCGTTGCTATGATAGTACTTTACAGTAGACACGAACTAATTTCAATAGTTGGCTGTCTTTGTCGTTCGCGTACGAGCACCTACTGACACGGGTTCTGGACAATCCTTAATTCTACAGCCAATTCCAATGGCTTTCTTGTCGGATTCTTTTGTCACAAATTAAGTGTTTAAAGGTCTGTAGGACTAGGAAATCCGACTTCAAATGGATTTGACATGGGGTTCGTTGCAAATGTTGTTTAGGTGCTTAATGAAATCGATACAGCTCTATGAAATCGAGGAAATCCATGCCAGAATTCTGATGGATTTCATCTGGGGTCCTCTTAGCTCCAAATATGAAAGCCTAATGAAACTCAGAGATTGCTAGGGCGTCTAGGAACTCTTTTTTTGCTCAAAAGGAAATCGCAAACAATTTGTCTATAAGTTTGCTTTTATTAATTTTTCTCTGCAACAACAACCAATTGCAAGCACCGTTCCCCTAAGTTTTTTTTTTTTATTTCCGAATTTCTTCTCAAAAGAAATCGCAAGCACTGCATCCCGAAGGTTTGGAGCAACAAGCTCCGCGCCCCCAAGCTCTTTACTTACTTTCTCTTCCAAAACAACAGTTCTCAAGCAACGTGTCCTTGACTTTTTTCAACAACCTCTACCACAACAACAAATCGCAACCACCGTGTTCCTCTTTTTGAAAGAGTTTCTCTTCCTAAACAACAAATCGCAAGCAACGCGTTCCTAAGACTTGATGCGATATATCTCCCAAAAGAAATCACCGCGTCCCGGTTTTCATCTCCAAAACAACAGATATCAATATTGGGCCCGTGCACGTAAGGTTCAGGAGGTTTCCGGGCAATCTGATTCTTACGCTACGTGCGGGGCCCACAATGCGAATATATCAATGGTTTAGGCCCCGGCCTAGATACATGTAAAGTGTCAGAGTAATAACAGTGATGTAGCCCTGTACATGCGAACTTACAAGTAGACTAGTTAATGCAGTCCCCGTGCTAGGTCCCTCGGCTGTTCAAATCTTAAGGAGGCGGTGCTTGCGATTTGTTTCCGAATAGATATTAAAACTGGCTTAGGGATGCGGGGCATGAATAATTTTGTCTTGTGCACGAGTTGATGTTTTTTTACAGTTCCCCGGGTAGTCTTATTCTCACGAGCACTGGCCCACATGATATATACATATATATTTATATTTTTTCTATTTATCTTTGTAACTGTATGTATGTATGTATGTATGTATGTATGTATGTATGTATGTATGTATGTTTTGGGCCCTGCACGTCAGCTCGGGGGACTCCTGAAACAAAGCCTTGCGTGCAGGGGCACCTATATATGTGTACATGTTAATCAATTGGGCCTGTGCACGTAAGATGTGTTTTTCAAAGTTGCCCAGGCAAATCTTTTTTTCTCACGAGCACGTGTACAAAATATTGGCACTTTGGGGCAATTTGGGTTCTAGGCCTGTGCACGCAAGAATTGCTTTCAGGAGTTTCCCGGGGCAAACTTATTTTTACGCACACGAGCATATGTACATGCATACACACATACATATATATATATACACACATGATATATAAATCTTTGGGACCCCGTGACTCTCGGACAACAGGCGTCCACAGCGCCCCTTTCTGAAACTCTAAACCCTGCAGTACTATCAAGGTGAAAGAGCTTGCGGACCTCGACACCGCTGGTCTCTGCAATCGGCTTGGCCTGCGGTCCCTGGCCTTAGAAGTGAGCGGGTGTCCTCATGAAGATTTTGCAGACAATCTGAGCTCCCCCTCTACCCCCCTCTCTTTACCCTGCCTCCCTCCCCCCTCCCCTCCCCCCCTCCCCTCCCCCTCCTCTCCCCCTACCCTCCCCTTCCCCTTCCCCCCCCCCCTCCCCCTCCCCTGCCCCCACTCCCCTCCCCCCACCTCCCCTCCCCTCACCTCCCTTCCCTCCCCCAGGACACAACTTGCCCGGGTGCTTGGGAGTGTGGTTTCGCCCGCATGTTTGCTGAGAAGAAGAAGAAGGAGAAGAAGAAGAAGAAGAAGCAGAAGAAAAAGAAGAGGAAGAAGCAGAAGCAGAATCAGAAGCAGAAGCAGAAGCAGAAGCAGAAGCAAAAGCAGAAGCAGAAGAAGAAAAAGGAGGAGAAGAAGAAGCAGAAGAAGAAGAATAAGAAGAAGAAGAAGAATGAGCAGCAGAAGGAGCAGCAGAAAGAGAAGGAGGAGAAGCGCAAGAAGCAGAATCAAATCATCCTACAAGAGCTCTTGTGCAAGACTCTGCTGAGGCTTCGTGCTGACGGCGATGTGCAAAAGGACTGGAAGAGTGTGGATGCTGTGGTATACACCTGAGTACGTGCGACCAATTCCAGTACGGACATACATTGCACTGGCGCTGTCAAGGTCATTGATGGCATGCTACCTCCGGGTGCGGGTGTGAAGCTCAAGACCCTTCTGGACGTACCGACAGGCCAGATGTAGATGCAGGGAGGGTTTTGTTCGAAGTATCAGAAACGGGTCATCTTGCAGGCGTCCTTTGCAAAGCTGGCCCGAATGTTCCTGAGGGTGCTGCAGCCTCAGACAGATGCGCGTTGGCTTGCAATAGTTCTTTTGTGTTGTGTTGTGTTGTGCTGTGTTGCGTTGTGGCTGCCGCGCCGTCGGCTGTGACGACCGGGCAGTCGACCTTCTTGCGCGCGGCACAGGCAACCGTGCTCATGACGTCCGAGGCAGTAGCTGAAGGTGTGTGGGGGTCGGGGGTGGGCGGTGTGGTGCAAACGCTGTGACAAAGCGCTGTTCCGATTCCAGGCGACGAGCTGCTGGCATCCAAGCACACGGCAGATGCACTTCCACGCTTCCTTTTTAACAAGGACATGACACGTCACAAGGCCAGAGAGATTGGGCGGCTATGCAGTGACCTTCACAGGGGAGGAGTCGCAGGAGCCCAGAAGCATGTTGCGCAACTTGAGCTGCAACTTAACTACCGTTCGTGAGATGGCAGGATGATATGGACGCCGTGCTTCAGAAAGCATCGCTGACTTCCCAGATCTTACATTGAACGCTGCGAGATGTTGAGGGCTCCTCCGGCATGATTCTTGGGTAGCACAGGCCGCGTTTCATCTTGCTGAAGCCCACGACCCGTAACGGCAGGAGACATCCGTCTCTTCTGCCGCATGGGGCCATGAGCAGCGTTCTTCAAGTTCTGTTGCAGGACTTTCATTGCCAGAAGGCAGGCCGCAGTGCATGGAAGTCTGAAGCCGGCAAGGTCGATGCCGGCATCACGATGCATCAAGTTTTTGCTCGCACTGCTAGCCCGCGAAGCTTGTCAGATTCTTCGCACAGCTGAGCCAGCTGGAGTCAGGGAAATCAGTCCATGTCTGAGTTTAGGGTTTAGGGTTCAGGGTTCAGGGTTTAGGGTTTAGGGTTTAGGGTTGAGGGTCTGAGCAGACGCACTGGAACACTTTGCTTTCAGTGCAAGACGTTCCGCCTGCCATCGGGCCAAGGTTCCCGCCATGCTGTGGTTTGACTATGCCAAGGCGCTGGTTGGTCCAGTGCTTGCTTCCGAAACCCTAAACCCTAAACCCTAAACCCTAAACCCTAAACTTTAAACCCTAAACCCTCAACCCTCATCCATCCGAAGTGGAGGCACCCTCAGCATCGGTACCCCAACATACAAACTTGGAGGTTCCAGGGTCCCTTATGAACCCCCTTAAGTCCTCTTAGTAGGTTTTCAGTAGACCTATACAGTTGTCAACTGGGGTGATAAGTACCCATGAACCTCCAAGTACCCTAGATCGCGACACTTTCAAGCCCCGGCCCTGCAAATTTGGGGTTAGGGCTCAGGGGCCAGGCAGAATCAGAAGTCACTGCTCACCATTACTACACCAGAAACCTTAAACCCTAAACCCTAAACCTAAACCCTACCCTAAACCCTAACCCCTAAGCCCTAAACCCTGAACCCTAAACCACAGACCCTAAACCCTAAATCCATGCAGGAAGACGGTAAAGATCAGGACGATGTGGCGCCGCCCTTAGGCTTCTGCTGACACGGGTTTGATGGAACGCGACAAGGGCAACCTTCAACATATTCGGGGTGTCCTGTACCTTTGGGGTGTTCTGATCCTAAACCCTAAACCTCACCCAAAATGACCAACAAAAACGTGTAGTAGGAACCCCCCAAAAGGGTTTAGGAAACCCTAAACCCTAAACCCATAGATATCGGCAAGGTCGTGGAGGCCTCCGCCGACTTCGGCAGTCTCTTTGTAGACGCTTGCCTTGACTGTTGACATCTAGCGTGGGTTTAGGGTTTCGGGTTTAGGGTTAGGGTTGAGGGGTAGGGTTTAGGGTTTCGGGTTTAGGGGTTTAGGGTTTCGATTCTTGCTTGAAAGGATATAGGGTGCAGGGTTACGGGTTATTGAGCCCACCTTCGACCCGGACTGTCGCCAGACCCGTGTCGACGTACAAGCATGCCCTAGAGGAAGTTTAGGGTTCAGGGTTTAGGGTTTAGGGTTTAGGGTTCAGGGTTTAGGGTTTAGGGTGCTCTTTTGATCACATTCCAAGGATGGAATGGGCGAAGGCCTGCTTTGGGATGCAGAGGCATCGGCCCTCTTCGGACCAAGACCTCGGACCCTCCTCGGAAGAGTGGAAGAGTACAAGAGACTCCGTGTGACAGGATCTCTCCTCCGATGAACTTCGTGAGTCCTCCTTCAACCTTCTTCAGGCAGCTGAGGGCATGCAGATGAGGTTTTTGTGTCGGGAAGAAGGGTTTAGGGTTTAGGGTTTAGGGTTTAGGGTTTAGGGTTTAGGGTTTAGGGTTGGGACTCTCAATCCATGCCTACTCCATATCTGCACGGGAAGGCTTCGCGTATGCGCATCTCCAAGACAGAGTTCATCAGCTGTCCATCCTGTGGTCGAACTCTCTTCGATCTGTGTGGGGCTTGGCTTCCACGTGGGGCTGCTCCGGTGCCCAGATTTTAGGGTTTAGGGTTTAGGGTTTAGGGTTGTACTTGGGCTGCTCCGGTACACAGAATCGGGGCAAGTTGCAGCGATGACTCGGTGCATCACCGGCTTCTTGCTTCATGACTAGGCTTCACGCCTTTGGGGACCACCAGTTTGGGTGGTCAAGGTTCGGAGGTTTCTGCTTCAGCTCTGCTGCGAGGCAGGAGACCACAGCGAAGATCCAAGCGAGAACCGGGCACCTTCCAGGCAGCTGCGCTGCATCTGCAGAAGCCGAGTCCTGATAGGATTGGGGCGCTCAACCCTCAACCCAAAACCTTTTACCCTGGATTGGGGCGTAAATCCCTAAACCCTCAACCCTCAACCCAAAACCTTTTCCCCTGGATTGGGTGAATAGCCCTTGGATGGTTTTGGCACTTTGATCAGGTGTCCGCATCGCCGTCATGGGCTGTATTGTCAATGGGCGCGATGCCCAGAGAGACTTTTCGGAGTCGCGCTTTTGTGCCCCACTTTCGCGCCTGGCGGCCCTCCTACTGAACCATGAACTCGAGAACCCCAAGCACTAAATCACTAAACCCCAAACTCGTTTGGATCGTCGGCGCTCAGGCCCGGAGAAATGGCAGATGCCGATTTTGGTTACGCCGCGCGGCTGCAGAAGCCTGTTCACAAGCCTTGGATTTGCCTTGGTAAAGAGCCTCAAGATGTCTGCGAGTCCCCCAAACCATTGTCAACATCTTCATTCATTGACCTTAAACTGCTTAGTGGTCCAGTTGTTGAACCCCAACTGCTCTGGGCTGAACAATGGATGTTTGACGATGGACAAGTGCAAGGGAACCCATAGGGGCCCGCGCACATAAGATCCCTTGATGATGTCTCTTGATTGGAGTACCCTAACCCTAAACCCTAAACCCTAAACCCTAAACCCTAAACTCTAAACCCTAAAAACCCGAAAACCCTACCCTAAACCCTAAACCCGCAACCAACCAAGGTTGGCAGTGGAGTTGGAAAGCTCGGTGCTCAGCCACGTCACCTTGAGCCGACCATCGCCTGCAGCATGGCCTACTGCACAACCTTGACCGCTGTCTTGTCGTGGCAGTGGTGACGCTGAAGCGACTATAGTCTTTAGGTAGCAAAGCACGTACCGTACATCCCCCCAATAAAGCACATATGAAGGGTACATTTTGCCAATTCCCAAATTCCCTACGACAAACCAGTAAGCCACGAAGCATGGCCGGCATGCTGAGCAAGCTACCACCTGCATCCACAAGAAGCGAATGTGACCGAACCTCCATCATGTCGCGGCCAGCCCTGCCAAACCTCCCATACACTGCGAGTGCCTTTGTGACCTGAAACCCTAAACCCTAAACCCTGAACCCTTCTACCCAAATCCCCGACAACCAACAGCGCCCCAGCCAAAACCCAAACATGCTGACAAGTCACGTTTAAATCCCACACCCTCTCTGTGACAGTCCGTGCGAGTTCAGTACGGATGCTGTCATTCCATCCTTTGTGTGCATCAAGAATGAAGTTTCCATGTTTATGGCTTCTCAGAATTGACCATGTACCTGAGCAGAGCCGTTTACGAGGGTCGACCTCTACGTCAACTACGACGTCGTGAAGAGGGGCATTCCCTCGGCTGAAGCTGTTGACGTAGACCGGCGGCAAAACTTGATGGCCTTTCGCATTGCGCATTTCAGAGCGTGAGCCTAAACCCTCAACCCTAAAACCCTAAACCCCTAAACCCTAAGCCCTAAACCCTAAAACCTTAACCCTAGACCCTAAACACCCATCACTGCTTTGTTGAAGCACTGGCCTGTCCATTCAAGGCATTAGTCGATCTGATCAAAGAGCACGTGCCTGAGCGTCTGCTTGGAAGTTCATGGGTACTTACAGCCCCAATTAAGAACTGCACTTTTAGGCTTCCGAAGTCCTCTAAGTAAGGTTATAAGTAGACCAAAGTTATGTTGGGGGTTGTAAGTTGGGATGTTCCCCCGTAAACTAACAGTCCTGAATAGGGAAATGAGTCCCCCCCCCCTCCCTTGTATAATCCTTATTAAGGAGCTGTTCGAACATCCCAACCCTAAACCCTAAACCCCAAACCCTAAACCCAAAACCCCCATATTGTGGTTATAAGTACCCACGGACCTCCAAGAGTCCTCCAAGTGCCTGAAAACAGTCCTTGTCGGGCCCTGTTGGTTCGTAGGGAATGGGGGAATGAGGTACCCTATATAATCCCTTACAGGGTATACATGGGGGGATATAGGGTACCTATATATTCCCTTACAGGGTATATATGGGGGGGATATGGGGTACCTCATTTCCTCATTCCTTACTAACCAACACTAAGAATTGTCCCATCGTCTGACAGACCCAGGCATGGCCGGTGGAGCGATCCGGTGGAAGAAGAAGATGTGGAAGCTGAGGTGGATTCACATGTTGGGTTTGCGGTTTAGGGTTTAGGGCTTAGGGTTTGGGGTTTAGGGTTTGGGGTTTGGGGTTTAGGGTTTGGGGTTTCGGGTTTAGGGTTTGGGGTTTAGGGTTCACCATGAAATCGCGAATTAGAGCATGTAGCACCTGGGCCCTTGTTCCCAGCTTTTGGGCCCTGGAAGGTCGGAGCCGTTGCGGTACTCTGAGACATGGTTGGGACTGCATCGGCAAAGTCAATGTGGTCAGGTATCCTACAGTAGCTGATGCAGCTTGCATAGGCAATGCTCTTCTTGTGCTTCATGTGCCAGCACCCAGAGATGTTGAAGGGGGCTCATGTCCATGCTTCGACTTAGACTTTACTCTCTTTTGGCGCTGAAGAAGACTGGCAAAGTGCCAGCTTTCCTTTCTGAGCTCTCCGAACTTTTGATTTCTCCTCTCCAGAAGGGGGCCATTCTCCACGACGTCGCTCGCAGCGATACAGGTTGAGAACTCCAGCTGGACTCAGTGCAAGTAAAGAAGTACAACATGGTTCTTGCGGCGAGCTGTCCCTCACTTGAGTGCTGGCGCCTCCGCACCAGCAGATGCACGCTTTTGTCGAGACTAAAGCCTGTATGTGTGCGCGTGTGCGCAGATGCTTTACTGTTGCTTTGGGTGATCACGACAAAAGAGTGCTCCGAGGAGCAGTATGGAATGATTCAGGCAACTGTGTGATCGCAGTTGAGTCAAACCCATGGTGCTTGCGTGAAGCTGTCCAGGCTTGCAAAATAGGACTTAACCGACATGCAGCACTGAAGGCTGCATTTTGCTCCCCTTGCTGGCGTGCGGCTTTACCGCTCACGCATACGTTGCGAACTGTCATGTGCGGCCGGCTCGAACCAGTTATAATTTGACAAGGCATTTCCCCAGAGGTTCCGGACTGAGACGTGTCAGCTCATGCACTGTGTATTTGATTTCAATTTGCCACCCTCTGATTGTACATATATATATATATATAAACGGAACGTGTGGAATACATAATCCCGGTTCTCGGTTCGCCGACCTCCCTCCACTAAACCCTAAACCCTCCTCCCCCACACCTTAAGGGTGGGGACCGCACCCGCCGGGGGGCCCAGACCGGCATCATATTTTCATATATACACACATAGGTGTTTATATGCAACCCCCCTTCCCCCCCGGAGCCAACCAACCCCAGGCGTGCGCACACACACCACAGAAGAGCAAACTGGAAAAATAGCTTCACGAGTGCACCAACCTCGACTGGGAAACTGCTCATGCAGAGTATATTAGGGGGTACCTTCTTGTGGGTTTATTACAAGGGGATCCTACTATTTGGGGCTTTTCGTACACCCCCATATAGAGGTAGTGCGTAGAAGAGTTGGCGACTTCATTTTCGTCCACTCCAGGAAAGCTCCGAAACGGGCGGTACCTGTCTATCGGTTTAGGGTTTAGGGTTTAGGGTTTAGGGTTTAGGGTTTAGGGTTGCACATGCTCACATACCCCCTTTCCAAAATCTAGGGTTGCATGCTCTTCTCCCTTGAAGGACAAGTTCGATAATTGGGGAAAGTGCCTAACGATGGTTTCCTTCATTGCTTGCAGCCACTTGACACCAAAACATTGAGAGGCCTTTGGGCATTGAGAATCAATGCGAAGATGACAGCTTTCAAGCGAGGCCCTGGAAGCTAGTGAATAGATATTTGCTCACATAATTCTCGCTTTCTTGGGACTTTACATATAGTAGTGTTCATGATCATCACCATTCTTCCTTCGAATCCATTTCGCAGTTACTGTTTTTGTGGATTTCCTTATTTGTTTCCCATTGCCTCTAAACATTCTTAACGTGGCTAGTCATCTTGCCTCTCCTCGGATTGCCAGAAGCATTACTATTAAATCCCAGCAAGAAAACTGATCAATGACAAACGATAATGTCAAGTGTGTACGTGGGCTGGGTGGTGGGTTCAATAGATATTAAGCAGAAAAGGGCTTGCAAGATAACATAATGTACTTGCCACCTGTTATTCTAGAAAAACACAAGTTTACCAAAAGGACACAATGTGTACAGGAAAGGCCACGTTATCAGGGACATCCACACATGGTGCTTGTTTCGTAACTTTTTCTCAGCACTAGAGAAATTATGATTCTCGGGCAAACCCAAGAGTTCCCACATATCCGAGGCTCCACGGAGAAGACTTTCTTGTTTTTTAATCTTGGGGGGGGGGGGGTTGGGTGACTACGACAACGACGACTACTACGACCACTGGTAGTAGTATGGCTACTGCTACGACGTCTACTACGACGACGACGACGACTACTCCACTGCGACGACTACTCCACTGCGACGCCGCTGCTATTCTTATTCCCAGTTCTATTGCAAATTGTATTTCTATTCCATTGCACTTGGCCTTTGGAGTGGTGAGCCTGGGTGTTGCGCTTATTTCGATTCAGTCTGGTTTTTGATTCGCACTTTTACTCGCAATTTTTTCCATCTCCTTCCCATAACAGCTAGAACCTGTATCAGCCAAACAAGAAAAACTAAACACAATCGCTTTCTAAAAGCCCTATTGATACAAAACAGAAACACCACAGCTTTGTGAAGGCCATTGCAGGCCAGAAAATGTCGGTGTTACAACATGAACGGGATCATGTCTCATTTCCAAGAAGTCCAGAAATACCAGAATCAACCATGAAATATTCCAAAAGTTTCATAAATTCCAAGCAAAACGGGCCATGTCACAACTCCAACAACTCCCCAAAACTCCAACGGGTTTAGGGTTTAGGGTTTAGGGTTTAGGCTTTAGGGTTTAGGGTTTAGGGTTTAGGGCAACGCGCCCCAAGCTCCCACAGATCAAGAGGTCCGGGTGCATGGGTGCAGGACTTTGTCCCGGCCGTTGTGGAGTTTTTGGAATTATTGGTGATGTTGTGGGATGTTTTGGAATTTTTGAGGAAATGTGTCATGGCACCGGGTGCAGGAAGCATCGCTATGTACGAGTAAAATGAAAAGAGGCTGGTCCTGGAGGGAGTGGTACCATACATGGTGATATACATATATATATATATAGTTATATTCACTGCTGTGTAATTTTGCATCGAATCGCAGCTCCTCATTGAAGAGTCCTGTGCGTGAAGATCCCCATGTCGAGGTAGACTTTGCGCAGATATGTGCTGTGTTCAGCAATATGTTCAACCGCTGAGGTGGGGCAAAGTGATGCCGTTGACTGCAATTTGAGCATGGCTCAGCAGGACTTTGCCTGTGAATAAGAATAGCTCTTCAGTAGCTTGTGGTGGCAGAGTTATACTGAAAGAGTGCAGAGCTTGCAAGAGCAGCGGGTAATTGTGCTGTGCTGGAAACTACTGGGATGCCGCGCTGACATGCAGGAGGTAGTCAGAAAGGAGCTTCTACCTCAGTGCTTTTTGCTTCCATGCGTGCAAGAATCCAGAGCATCCGTCTGGTTGCGTTCTTCTGCGTGCTGCATGTTTGCGTAACGCAGTCTGCTCTTAAGGACCTTGGGCGTGCAGAAGAAGAAGGGAATCGAGAATCGATACTTCGTCTTGTTCAAGGACTCCTTTGGCACCATGTGCCAGATTTGGGAGCCTAGGAGTTTTCTTCATACGCTGAACCTGAACCTTGGCCCTAAACTTGGCCCTAAGCCCTCTCAGCCCTCAACCCTAAATCCTAAACCCTAATCCCTAAACCTCCCCTAAACGCTAAACCTCCCCTAAACCCTAAGCCCACCATCGTCCTGAAGGACAGATTGGACTACTTTGCCACAGAGGCCGACGAGAAGTCTGAGCCACGAGGTCGCCTGACCTTGAACGAGGTGGAGAAGCTAGAGGCGCACTAGGGTTTGAGGGTTTAGGGTTTTTGGGGTTTTTGGGGTTTTGGGGTTTTGGGGTTTTAGGGTTTTAGGGTTTTTGGGGTTTTAGTGTTTTAGGGTTTTAGGGTTTTAGGTTTTGGGGTTTTTGAGTTTTGGGGTTTGAGGGTTTGAGGGTTTTAGGGTTTGAGGGTTTTCGGGTTTTAGGGTTTGTAGGGTTTAGGGGGTTTTAGGGGGTTTGGGGTAGGGTGCTGGGGTTTAGGGATTTTTGAGTTTTGGTGTTTTAGGCGTTTGAGGGTTTTAGGGTTTAGGGATTTGAGGGTTTAGGGGTTTGAGGGTTTTGGGTTTTGGAGTGCTCGGGTTTTAGGGGTTTAGGGGTTTTAGAGTTTTGGGTTTTAGGGTTGGGGGGTTTAGGGGTTTGAGGGTTGTAGGGTTTTTGGGTGTTGAGGTTTGAAGGTTCAAAGGGTTTAGAGGTTTTATAGTTTTGGGTTTTAGGCTTTGGGGGTTTAGGGGTGTGAGGGTTTTAGCATTGGGTTTTCGGGTTTTCGGGTTTTGGGGCTTCGGGATTTTTGGGTTTGGGGTTTTGGGGTTTGAGGGTTTTAGCATTTGGGGGTTTTTGGGTTTTAGGGTTTGAGGGTTTTGAGGGTTTCAAGGTTTAGGGATTTAGGGTTCGGGCCTAAGCCAGAAGCCCTAAGCCCTAAGCCCTAAGCCCTAAACCCCAAGCCCGACCCCGGGTTGCGATGCAGTGGATTTCGGTCGACACTTCGACTACTGGTAGCAGTTCTCCGGAGCCAGCCGGGTTTAGGGTTTAGGGTTTAGGGTTTGGGGTTTAGGGTTTAGGGTTTAGGGTTTGGGAGATTTTTTTGGGCGTATTGTACGGAAACCAGTGGTTGCTAACAGCATCCTCCGTCCTGCCTGGATTGTTGGAGTAGTTGCGCTCAAGCTCGCATAGCAGGTCATCCGATACCCATGGGGGTTGATCTACAGCTCCCTTCTGGGAAATTATGTGGGTTCCAAGGGTTTATAAGGGAAATATAGGGCTGTCTGAGAAATAGACATCTTGATCAACTACTGACATGTTCTCCGTTGACTGGCATGCATGCAGTGCCTGTTCTGTATGATCTGCATCAACTTCTGCAAGCTGCTTTTCCCTCAGCCCTCACCCTAAACCCTAAGCCCTAAACCCTGAACCCTAAACCCTGAAACCCCAAACCTTGCAAATCGCGGCCGCAGGTTCAGGAGGATGGCTTTTCGCTGATTTTGGTCGGAGGTCATGCTCTTGGCAACCATTGCCAGGTTACCAGTGCCATGCTGCACCCATTTGATTGTGCTACAACCCTCCAACCCTACCCCCTAAACCAAGCTAATCCCTAAACCTTAAACCCTAAACCGTAAACCCTAAACAAAAAACCCTAAACCCTCAACCCTAAACCCTCAGCCCTAAACCCTCAACCCTAAACCCTAAACCCTAAACCCACTGATGGAGCGCCCCGTGTGCAGCCTAAACCCAGGTCAAAGCCTGACGCTGAAAACTCCGGAGGCTTCACTGGAGCCGTGGCTTTCATCGCTGAAGCCCTTGTGCTCCCGGCGAGGGCTTTGTATGTGCTGCACATTTTTCGCACGCAAGACACGTAGCAAGGCACATGGGGAAGCTTGTGTGTTCGAAACCCTAAACCCAGAACCCTAAACACTCAACCCTAAATCCTACCCCAAACCCTAAACCCTAAACCCTAAACCCTAAACCCTAAACCCTAAATCCTAAATCCTAAATCCCTAAACCCCAAACCTTAAACCCTAAACCTTCACAGTTTTCATGAGCTCCTGGCTCGCGGCAGGCTCAAGGCAAGTGACGGCAGCGAGAAGTCCAAGGTGCGGCATGGCTTAGGGCTTCGGGCTTCGGGTTTAGGGTTTAGGGTTTAGGGTTTAGGGTTTAGGATTTAGGGTTTAGGATTTGAAGTTCAGGATTTGAAGTTTAGGGTTCAGGGTGTAGGGCTTCGGGTTTAGGGCCTGGGGTTTTTATGGGCTTAAGGGGTTTAAAGGGTTTTTGGGGGTTCGCTCAGACCTGGGCTTGATCTGAGGAAGGGGCAAGTTCATGTTGTGTTGTGATGCTAGATCACATCAAGCCCATCGTTTTGGTTTTAGGGTTTAGGGTTTAGGGTTTAGGGTTTAGGGTTTAGGGTTTAGGGTTTAGGGTTTAGGGTTTAGGGTTTAGGGTTTAGGGTTTAGGGTTTAGGGTTAGGACTCTTAGAGTTTCATGTGCGGCGACTTGTGCACTGATCTCAGGGTTTCCGACAATAGGGTTTACCTTCTGGGGGTCATTATTATAAGGGAATCCTACTATTTGGGGGTCTACACGTAACCTCCCATGTGTGACTGAAGCCGTCCAGCTCAAGACTGTAGCCGCAGAGTCACAGTTTCAGGAACACCAGCACGATCGAACGGCTTGACCTCTTGGTTGCAGAAGTGCGCGTAGGCAGCAGTCAAACCGTCCTAGCTTGTCTATGCCCTATAATTTGCTCTCTTTCTCTCCTTTTTGTTTGTTTTGTTTGTTTTCGTCTCTCTCTCATTTGTTTCTTTTGGTCTTTGTCTTTCTCTCTTCTTCTTCTCTCAGATCCCAAGCCAATGGAGGGGAGGAGGCGAGGTCGGCGGGGGCAAGCCGACGAGGACCGGCGAGCTGAGAGGACGCAGGCGGGCCAGAGAGAGGGGTTTAGGGTTTAGGGTTTCGGGTTTAGGGTTTAGGGTTTAGGGTTTAGGGTTTAGGGTTTAGGCCAGAGAGAGAGAGCGCGGGAGAGTGGGAGAGAGAGAGTTGGGGCTTTGCCTTTCTTGGGGTTCCTTCATTAAGGGAATGGCTTTGAACTTCTGGTATGTTAGGGGTACCCCCAGATATTGGGAGATGCTCATGTTCCAAAGAAGATAAAGAAGAGCCGTACCGACCTTAGTACTGCGGCATGGCTCAAGCCCAAAACCTGCAACCTTAACCATCAGGTTCGCGACCTCTGTCTGTGCGTGTGTGTGTGTGTGTGTGTGTGTGTGTGTGTGTGTGTGTGTGTGTGTGTGTGTGTGTGTGTGTGTGTGTGTGTGTGTGGGGGGGGGGTGGGTGGGTGGGTGGGTGCACCTGCTCTGACTCCCAAACCCACGAGAAGAAGGAGAATCAAAAGACATGTGCCACTTTGGCGCAGAGGTGTATAGTAACATGCTTAGTTCTAGCATATCATGGTAAAATGTCGCTTATCGTTCCTGGAAGTTTAGCCAATGTTCGTTTCCCTTGTGCGTTCCTTGCAGGTTTTTCAAAAGACGAAGACTCTCAGATGAGCCAGTGGACGGGAGCGGGACATGCGGGCACAGATTCAGTCTGCATGCTTGTGCTCGGCACCCAAGATCTTTCAACACGTAAATCGGTCGCCAAGGATGTGCAAGTTCCACCTGATGGGCAGCTGTCAGAACCTTGTCGAAGTTTACATGCACACAAGCCTGCAATCAAGAAGCACTCAAAATACAGTTTCCCTTCTACTCAAGTCAGTGCATGGAAGGCTTGTTGTTTTTGGTAATCATAATATTGGTCGTCGGAAGTGAAAGAGTGAACGCATCTGTCAGGAGAGGGTCGCAATGTCGGTTCGCACACGATCAAAGCACCTTGTCGGCAAGATTCGCCGGTTTAGGCGTTTATGGTTTGGGGCCTAGGGTAGGGTTTAGGGTTTTAGGGTTTTAGGGTTTTAGGGTTTTAGGGTTTTAGGGTTTAGGGTTTTGGGGTTTACGGTTTCAGGGTTTCGGGTTTTAGGGTTCAGGGTTTAGGGTTTCAAGGATCCTAGCCGCTCGGCGGGCAAGACTTTTTCTAAGACTATCTCTGCCTGTTGGCCGAGCAAGGCGAGCTGCAAGGCTTGCCGGACCTTGCCCGCACCAAGATCTGCAAGCAGATGATCCAAACCGGGCGTTGTGAGGACCGCACGGTGCCTTCCGTTGCCCAAGCTCGACAAATATAGTTATGTTATACTTCTCAGGGATGCTCCCAGCACCAGAGCAAGACGAATCCAAGTCTCGACCCACTCTCAGGACCCTGCCTGCACGTACGCACACAACAGGGAAGAGAGTCTTGGCTTACAATAAGCCGAAGCAGCATGAAAAGCAACTTTTGGGGTTCACGCATTCTTGTACATCTTGTGCAGAACCCTAGGCCCTAAGCCCTAAAAGCACACCGGATCCATGTAAAGAGTGATGCTGAAACAATTACGTACAACAATTTCACCAGAGTTTTCGGCTTTCAGTGAATCGCCGCGGAACGCAGCGCACGCGTTCCTTGTGCTCAGGCTGAGAATCGTGCCGGGCTTCTCAGCAGCCGATCAGCGGGAGAGGGCCGTCCAGCTGGAACAGTTGGAGCTCCTGGAGATGGAGATTGAGAGGATTGCCTGTGGTACACCCCCTAAAACCCCGAAGCCCTCAACCCTAAACCCTAAGCCCTAAGCCCTAAACCCTAAGCAGCTGAACAAGCGCAGACCGCACTGAGTCAGCCCTACGCGCCTAAACCCTAAACCCTAAACCCTAAACCCTAAACCCTAAACCCTAAACCCTAAACCCTAAACCCTAAACCCTAAACCCTAAACCCTAAACCCTAAACCCTAAACCCTGAACAGGGGACGTGCTCAAGCCGGACGGTTGCAGCCCGTGTCGCAAGCCGATGAGCCGAAGGCCGAGTCTTCGCCCTTGTGACTCAAACGCTAGGGTTTAGGGTTTAGGGTTTAGGGTTTAGGGTTTGGGGTTTAGGGTTTCGGGTTTAGGGTTTAGGGTTCAGGGTTTGCTGCCCTAGCTGTCGAAAGCCGGTAGGCCCCAGGGTTCTTGGGCGTGTGGATTGAAAATTGTGTCTTGACTGAGCGTAGCTGGTATAGCTCAGCAACAACATGTCCTGCATAGATAGTCAGGGCAGGGATGTCCATGATGTCGCTGGCACAGGTGAATGGACAAAGCCAGAAGCTGAATCAGAATCAGCCGCTGTACCAGGCATATCTGAGGGTTTCGGGTTTAGGGTTCGGGCCGGGTTAAGGGTTGGTTGTTTGCTCCTCTGTTTTCCATTTCATTCGAAGTGTCATTGTGTGGTAGCAGTATGCAGCCGCGGTAGATTGCAACACTTCTCACGATACAAGCCCTGGCCAGTCAAACATGATGGCCTGCGGCACTCCTGTCTTCTTCGTGCCATCACTCGCCGCTTGGACTTTGACATCCTGTTTTGCACCTATAGCTGATATAAGTGCTGTGCCTGGGCTACCTGAAGATTTCCATGGGCCTTTCCAGATGCCTGAGGTGACCACGGGTGATTATCCCACTATGTGCATACCGGGCTCTCCCTCAGGGACAGCTGCACCGCATGCTGCTGACAAGCCACCGGCCGCAGCCCCAGTGCACATGCACCGACGCCTGCGCCGGCATGTCACCACGCGCTACAGCGACAAGCAGCTATGAGTAGGGTCAGCCCATGCCAGGGCTCAATCAGCTGCATGTGTGCAGATTCTGGTTACATTCTTTGAGATTCTGGAACCCGACAGGCCCAGTGTGCGGTCAAGACCAGTGGAGACAGTACCAAGGCCATGAAGGAGACACCAGTGGCGCAACAAGTCGTCAGCTGAGTGAAGACACTTGCAGAACATCGCATCACCCGCGCTGGCTTCTCAAGCCGTGGGACATTGTGGGACCAAGGCTGCGCAAGCGATGCAGCAGATGAACTCAGCCGCACAGGCCCACGTCGCCGAGGCGACTCGGAGAGGGCTAGGTGGGGTCTGATGTCGGCAGGGCCGGGGGCAGAAAAGTGAGCGGCAGTTCTGCCGTCAATGACATCGCTATGCCGCTAGACTCGGCCCTAGCACAGGGGTGTTTGCGCTTCATCGATCACTGGTGTCAGTCGGCTCATGGCCTCTTCCAAGCATGTTGGAGCAGTTGGGTCACATCATCATATCAGGCCTGCATGCCGAACGGATCCGAGCGCTTCCTTCCTGCATCATGACACTCGTGTTCAAGCGGGCCACGGCAAAAGCAACAAGAACCACGAAATTTTCTTTCCCCCCCCCCCCCCCCCCCCCCCCCCCTTCCCCTCCCATGCTGAGGGTACCCTGGATGCCGGTTTAGGGTTTAGGGTTTAGGGCTTAGGGTTTTGGACCCTCGCTCTTTCGCCCAGGCTCAGGGTGTTCTGAATCCCATGACTCCTCAAAAAGCTGCTGGCACTCTACTCCGCATATTCCCCCCCCACCCCCTTTGGTTTTTCATTCCCCCCCCCCCCCCCACCAGAAAAAGCAATCCGGATTTTAGGAAAAGCCCGACGAAAAGACGCCCAACAGTCAATAGGACTTGGAGCAACAACTGCGTTGTTGGCCCGTGCCCGCCAAATTTTTCATCGGCTTCAGCAATTGCAGCGGTGATTGTGTGTACCAGGGCCATTTGTGCCCGTTTCTTTGCTCGTACTACTCGTGCTTGGCAGACGAAGTGAAGAAACGGGCTTCCGTGCAGCTCTGCTGACTAGTCACCCCTCTACCCAATCAGGCGATCCGTTTGCAAGCGCAGGCCAAGGCGGGATGAAGTCCAACTTGCCGGGCAGACCTCTGACAGCCCGAAACCCTAAACTCCTAAACCCTAAACCCTAGACCCTGAACCCTAAACCCTAAACCCTAGCCCCTAAACCCCCCTAACCCCCCCCCCCCCCCCTAAAAACTGCATGTCAGGCGGTGGCTCAGTATTTTCATCACCAATCCGGAGGCCATGCAATGTTCTGGTGAGCTGACGAAGTCGGTCCGGTCTCCGGGTCACTGTTGGCCCGGCCCGATATAGAATGTTGAGTATTGTATAAGAGGATTTAGGGTTTAGGGTTTATGATATCATATCAGATCAGATCATATCATATCATGTCATATCATATATGTATATATATATACACACACATGTGCATGTGTGTGTGAGTGAGTGAGTGATATTTATATGTACAACATTGGATATAGTCTCGAATGCAAAATGGTATAAAGTAGTATAGTATACAGGTATAGTATACAACTAAGTATAAGATAAGATAGGACCTGGCAATGGCTACAGCAGCTTCAATGACTTGGCGTCGACTGGACCAATATCACCGAAATCATCCGAGGCCTGGCAATTTGCTGTAGGTTGCACATGTCGGGTGCTTAGAGGTGGGTCGCGGTTGCATTGCTGCCTGGCTCAATGGCAGGCCAGAACTACTCGCGAAATTCCAGCTCCGGCGCAAGAGCCAGCAAGCAAAGCTGTCGGCTCACAGCGAGAAGTTGGACCGGTCGGATCAGTGGGTGCAATGCCGCGAGGTGAGCCGGGCATCTTTGTCAAGATCGTTGGAGCTAGAAGCTGCCTTTTTTGTCAACCCTCTTGTCGGTCGTCTTGGAGTTTTGCGTCTCAGCATGGCTTCCTGTCACCCCGAAACCCCGAGCCTCGCAGGATTCGGTGAGTTCAGTGGTCACCCCGCGTCGCTGTCAGAGGACGCCGAGGCTCAGGGGTGGAACTGGAGCCACGTGGGCTCGGATGTGTCGGATGGACAGCATGGGGGGGCATCCTGTGTTTTTGGGGTTTAGGGGTTTTTAGGGTTTTTTCGGGGTTTCGGGGTTTCGGGTTTAGGGTTTAGGGATTAGGGTTTAGGGGCTGTACATGCTTGAATTGGCACCGTTCTAGTGGCCCTTGGAGCCGATCCGCGAGCCTGTGTCGGTCATGCGCATCTGTTGTTCCGCTCTCGAACTCATTGAGGACGAGCCCTTCATCCCCAGTGAGCCCGCACAGATCAAGAGCCTTGACCGCATGTTTAGGGTTTAGGGTGTAGGGTTTAGGGTTGGACACTTCGTATCCGGACGTTTATAAAGCGGCATCTTCAGTGGCTTTGCTTTGCATTGTCTGCTAGATTCTCCAGCAAGAATTTGCGCGTGTGCATGTTCTGCCCAATCTGCCCGTTTCGAAGAATTGCGAAGAATTGGCCGGCATTGTGGAAGGCATAAAACTGCTTGACCCTAGACCCTAAACCCTAAACCCTAGAGCCACCGGATCAGTGGAAACTGTGCTCTGTGAGTGTTCACTGTTGCAGGCTCGGCACACTCCGCTCGCTTAGCTCCAACTCTCTGCCAGTCCAGGCCACCATTCTTGTCATATTTTCTATGCTAGATGCTCTCTATAGGTTATATATAGGTTATATATAGGTTATACATAGGTTATATATAGGTTATATATAGGTTATATATAGGTTATATATAGGTTATATATAGGTTATATATAGGTTATATATAGGTTATATATAGGTTATATATTATACATTGTAGCTACACATTTTGCAACTGGTGGTCCCAAGACCCCGCAGATGGACGACGACGATGACTTGGCAGACAGAGGCTGGGATACATAGCGCAGGACTTCGCACTGAGTTTCTAAGGGTAGTTACCTGGGCCCTTGGTATGGTCCCTTACCTCCTTTTAACGGTTTCTAATGTATGGGCCCGTAATTTGTATAGGGGATATACGGGGTATGTAAGGGGTGCCCTTTTAAGGTCCCATACTGTGGGACCATGAAGCTAACCTTAGACAGTTAGGAGAAGCCGTGACGACAGCCTTCTTCGAGGTATGCCAGGCATGTCGTCTTCCGTGGCACAGGCTCTCAAGGCCTGGTCATGCCGTTTAGGGCTTAGGGTTTAGGGTCTAGGGTTTAGGGTTTCGGATTTCGGAATGAGGATTTAGGGTCTAGACAGTATGATGCTGAATTTTCAAGGGCGTGCGCTGTCGTCTTGGTGAGGTAAAGAACACGTTCTACGACTTTGAGACTGACTGCACTCCTCTTGGCAACAGGCAGATGGGTTGGCATTCGGGATGTTTGAATACCCCGCAATGCGCTGCGTGCTATATTCGTGTACAAAAGAGAATATGCAAGAGTTGGACATGCAATATTGTTGTATGTGGAATATAAAATATAACATAGAATATTTCATATACGACAAACAATACACATGACAATAGTGCAGAATCTGTAACATCGAATATATGACACAAGTACTATGTAACATCAAATCTGTAACATGCAATACATAATACGTAAGAATGCGTAAAACATAATCGACAGTGTATATGTACGTATATATATATATGTATATACGTATATTATATTTATATATAGAGAGTTTTTAAAACCGAATATACTTCAACAGACTTCATTACTGGCAAAACTGTGGCCGATCTATTGTGCATTTGCCGGCTGACAGGCTGCGCCCAATTTGTTCTGCAGCAGGTCGCTTAGATGCCTTGGCGACAGAAGAGGAGGAGCTTGCACTTGTGGCAAAGTGTGCAGACTCTTCCCTGAACCCCTGAACCCCTGAACCCCTGAACCCCTGAACCCCTGAACCCCTGAACCCCTGAACCCCTGAACCCCTGAACCCCTGAACCCCTGAACCCCTGAAACCCTGAACCCCTGAACCCCTGAACCCCTCAACCCCTCAACCCCTAAACCCCTAAACCCCCAAACCCCTAAACCCCTAAACCCCTAAACCCCAAACCCTCAACCCTAAACGCTAAACCCAAAATGAACTTGCTGCCCTAACTGATGTTCAGGAGACTGCTCTCGGCGGCTTAGCTTCGGGTGGGCTAGCTCCTGGAAGCTTGGCTCCTGCGGGGATCCCAGGAACCAAGCCCTAAACCCCTAAACCCCTAAACCCCTAAACCCCTAAACCCCTAGATCCTAAACCCCCAAACCCCTAAATCCTAAACCCCTAAACCCCTAAACCCCTAAACCCCTAAACCCCTAAACCCCTAAACCCCTAAATTCATAAACCCCTAAACCCCTAAACCCCTTTACCCCTAAACCCCTAAACCCTTAAACCCCTAAACCCCTAAACCCCTAAACCCCTAAACCCCTAAACCCTTAAACCCTAAACCCCTAAACCCCTAAACCCCTAGACCCCTAAACCCCTAAACCCCTAATCCCCTGCACCCCTAAACCCCTAAACCCCTAAACCCCTAAACCCCTAAACCCCTAAACCCCTAAACCCCTAAGCCCCTAAGCCCCTAAACCCCTAAACCCCTAAACCCCTAAGCCCCTAAACCCCTAAAACCCCTAAACCCCCTAAACCCCTAAACCCCCAAACCCATAAACCCCTGAACCCTAAACCCCTAAACCCCCTAACCCCTAAACCCCGAAACCCCTAACCCCGAAACCCCTAAACCCCTAAACCCCTAAACCCCTAAACCCCTAAACCCCTAAACCCCTAAACCCCTAAACCCCTAAACCCCTAAACCCCTAAATCCCAAACCTCAACCCCTCAACCCCTCAACCCGTCAACCCTGCCCTAAAACCCAAATGACTGGCGATGTCTATGCTTTAAAGGGAGTTGGGGAATCCACCCACCTCACCACCCCCTGTACCCTTCAAGGCGTTATTCTATGTCCGGACCTTAATGCCCGAAATTTTCGTAGTACGAACCAGGAGCAAGTCAACAGCACTGTGCAGAGCGCCGTCTTTTGGAGTTGTTGCTAGTAGTGTCATGCTATTGGAAACCTAGACCCTAGACCCTAAAGCCTACACCCTGAACCCTAAAGCGCTTGAACAACGTACTTGGGTCCTCAGGGCCCGACCTTGTCCGCCACCGCTGCACCTGGTGGGCGTCAGCCTCGGCTTATACCTTTGTGGGGAGCAACAGAGACCGTGGCTCAGAGTGTTTCGGCACAGCCGCCAGCGGAGGGCTTGTTAACCTTTGCCTGTAGAGCCCCTTCAACGACGCCCAGAAAGTGTGTAGGCAGCCAGCCACATCGCATCATTCGCAACTAGGGAGGAGGTCTGAGGTGGCTCCACATGGGGGTCACATGGGAGACATTGCGACTGTCATACAGCAAAGGTCATTGTGAATCACGGAGCTTTCCGAAGTTCTCGCCCAAGACCTCGGGCACTTCCCCCCCAATATGCCATTCTCAAAGAATGAGCCGCGACGGCTCAAGTTCCACAAGCAACTCAGACCATCCAGACCAGGTTTGCCCGTGATCCGACTGCGGTCTATGTTGTAAGGGCATGTAAGGACGGTGCCCCGCGGCGAGTTGATGATATGTGACGTTCGCACCAGCTTTCCGATCCCTGTCCGGGTATGCTCATGAGATGTTAGTGCATCCCAGTGATCTATCAACTGAACCTTTTGCTGGATGAAACGTCCGCACACCCTGTGCCAGCATGTCCAGAAATGTCCACTGATCTGACAAATAGACTCCATCCCGTGTCCTTGCGGTTTGCATTCTTCCTGCCTTCGTGCAGACACTCTTGCATCACCCCTTTCGCATCACCCTAAACCCTGCTAAACCCAAACAGAAGTATGGGCTGAGAGGAAATGTGGAGGCTGGGTGGGGTGGTTGGGAGTTGACCCGAGAACACCAAAAGACTGCTAAACGCAAGCGTAAGACCAGGAACAACGAGGGAACTGAAGCAACAGCGGGGGGGGGGGGGGGGGGGGGGGGTTGTTCTGGAGATCCCATCCTTTGCAGTCGTTTTGTCGCCCGGAGATTGTAAACGCCCAAGGCCCAGGCATGGGGTCTTCGGTTGAGGGGCGGGGTCCAGAAAGGGTTTAGGGGGGAGGGGGGGGGGTCTTGGGGGGGGTTTTCAAAGGTGGTTCTAACACAACCCAAATTGCATTTTCAGTGCTGCTTGCTCTCTCTTTCCCTGCTCGCCTGCCTGGCTGTCGGAACCCTCTCTGTTGGTCGACTACCCCGCGCTGTGATCGATGCTTCGATCCTAGCACTCTAAGCCCTAAACCCAAAACCACTATACCCTATACCCTAAACCCTAAACCCTAAACCCTATACCCTAAACCCTAAACCCTAAACCCTTTTCCCGAACGTGAGTGTTCGAGTTTGTAGGTCAATCGTGTTTCGAGTACAACTAGAGAATGGCATCGTTGCAACAGTGCACCTCCAACTGCAAATGCACAGCGGCCCACGCAGGAGTTTGTAGCCATGAAAAGAGCCGAGAATTGGAGATCACCAGTGCGCCTGGCCTGCCTGGTCAGGTCAGACAGAGCAACTGCAAACCACCTGCCGCTTCCTGAGCTTTTGCTGGCCGTGTGCCCTTGTGCTGCACGTTGGAGTGCAGCACAACTATTCCGATTTGCTAACTTGGGCTGTGAGCATCCTCCCATGTCCTCCCCTTCAATGGCAGGCCTGCAGATCCATTGCTGCGCAGAGCAAATGAGCTTGCTTCAGGCATGCCAGCTCTTCTAGTGTCAGTGAGCCTTGTGATACTGTGGAGGAGCATCCGACTTGAACTGATTGATGTACATACCACCTCGGGCGCGTGATTCGCCTTCCCAGCCCGCACCACCACCACACCCACACCACCCGACCTCACACCACCCCCACACCACCCCCAAACCACCCCCAAAACCACCCGCACACCACCCCCACCCCACACCACCCCCACATCACCCCCACCCCGCACCCCACCCCACCACTCCACACCACCGCCCCGCACACCACCACTCCACACCACCCTCCACCTCCACACTACCCCTACACTGCCCCACACTACTCCACACCAACCCACAATGCCCAACACCACACTAGCCCAGACTCCCCCAGACTACCCCCACACTACCCCACACCACCCCACACTACCCCCGCCCCACTACCCCCATACTACCCCACACTACCCTGCACTACGGCCACACTACCCCACACTGCCACACTACCCCACACCACCCCGCACCACCCCACACCACCCCACACCGCCCCGACACCTGCACCACACACCCGCACCACTCACACCATGACACGTTATGGCGCGGGTCGGATACACCAGTAAGTGTAAAAGTGCAGGAGTGTACGTGTGAGTATAAGTGGAAGTGCAAGTGGTGTAAGTGTAAGTGTAAGTGTAAGTAAGATTCAGTCAGTAGGCGTGTAAATGTGTGCGTGTGTGCGCGTGTGTGTGTGTGTGTGTGTGTGTGTGTGTGTGTGTGTGTGTGTGTGTGTGTGTGTGTGTGTGTGTGTGTGTGTGTGTGCACGCAGTCGCACATGCATGCACGAGTGCGCAGTTGCAAAACCCGGGCTTGCCGTGAAAGTGCTATGCCGCGAGATGCATTCGGAACCGGCGTCTACGTGAAGAACACGCTGCCCAGCTGCCAGTGCAGTAGGTCGCATGAGAAGGCTGAAGCTGGGAGGTGATATTTGAACCGATGGAGGTTTAGGGGTTTGAGGTTTTCGGGTTTAGGGTTTATACTGTAAGGTTTATAGGTTTTATGGTGTTTCGGGTTTAGGGTTTACGGTCTAGAGTCTTGGAGTTGGGGGTTCCGGGTACCCATAGGATACTTGCGCTCATCAGAGCAACCCGAGGATCTTTTTCTGCTTATTGAGGTCTGAGTTGATCTGGATACTTACCAAAGTAACGGGGACTTCTAGTGGAGTCCAACCCAAAACAGGGTACCCCTATTCTCGGAAACCCCCTTGCCCCAAGCCCTAAACCCTAAGCCATAAACCCTAAACCCTAAACCCTAAACCCTAAACCCTAAACCCTAAACCCTAAACCCTAAACCCTAAACCCTAAACCCTAAACCCTAAACCCTAAACCCTAAACCGAGTTTTTCGTTCCCGAGGTTCATTGACCTCGCTTGCGAGGACGCTGTGTCTGCTGTTCTATTTGACACACTCGGAGGTTTAGGGTTTTAGGTTTTAGGGTTTAGGGTTTAGGGTTTTAGGGTTAGGGTTTAGGGTTTAGGGTTTAGGGTTTAGGGTTTAGGGTTTAGGGTTTTAGGGTTGCGCTTGGGTGTCTCCAAGAATCAAGGTACTATTTAGCGGTTCCTAAACAAGGCTGTCATACTGTTTTTTGGGAGGTAAAGTGGCATGCTCGCGTCTCGAGTTCTCGGGCTCTTTGAACTGTTTGCAGACTGGGGTTTAGAGCTTAGTTAGGATGGGGTTTAGGGTTTAGGGTTTAGGGTTCAGGGTTCAGGGTTTAGGGTTTAGGATTTAATCCGAGCATCTGTTTAATTGGTGGGGGCCCCCCCCGCCCCCCCCCCCACAATAAGGAATGCAGGGTTCCGCAATAGTTGGACCGTGGCCCTGTATTGATTCTCTATTAAAAACAATAGGCTGCAGATCCCTGAGGTGCTGTAGCTTTGCATCTCCGCAAGCAACACAAGAAGCCTGCCGACAGATTTTTGGACCCCCCCCAAAAAAATTCCTTTAAATGTGGGGGGTTTGTCCCATACGAAATCCACCCTAATGGAAAGTAGTCTTCCGGCGGGCTTCCGGCAAAAAAAATTTCTTTAAATGTGGGGGTATAAATTAAACTGATGCTCGGATTAGGGTGTAGGCAAGCACGAGGAGCCACAGTATAACAGGGATTCCTCAAAGGGACCATAGCCAAGCCCTTCCACCGGAACATGCTGCTTTTTACAGGGTACATACGGGGTATAGAAGGGAACCCAATTAAGTGCCCACAACAAGGACCGTGTATCTACCCTAAGATTCTGGCATCGGTGCGAGGAAGAGCCAGTTGCCGCTCTCCGTGCCGTGCACACGGCAGCGGGTCGTTTGGACATGATGTGGCGTGACGATGAGGACCACCGAAGCTGGTGACCACCTTGCGCAGCCTGCACACTTGCATGCTAGTGGCAACCTGTTCGATGAAGGAGCGCGCTGATTGAAGCCTGCACAAACGCTGCACCGTGGTGATTCGTTGCCGGCCGACCCGTTCCGGCACGGACTGAGCCGGTAGCGGCCTGTCTTCTGGGATTTGCATGTGGCCGCCAGATGATCTCAAAAAGTAGTTGAGCAATCAATGGCCATGGCCCGAAAGTCCCAAGAGGATTGCAATCAGGTACATGTATTGGATAGGCAGCTCCTCATCCAACCGAAGCCCTGCCAGGATCAGAAGATGTCATAAGCGCCTAGACTCCAGACTCCAGAATGTGGGGGGGTTCCCGAAATTAAGGGTACCTTCTTGGGGTCCTGATTATAAGGGAATCCTACCATTTGGGGGTCTATTTAGGGTTCCCCGTATTTTCGTCAACCCCATGTCAATCAGAATGCGGGTGCTGTTCCAACTGGGCTCCGGCTTCGGGTGGTATGTTTGTTGCCTATAATCGCATGTCCGCAGCGAGCGGAAAGATTGTACCAGAATGTGCACAGAGTTTGAAGCCGATCCTCTGCCCCCCCTGACCCCCCAACGACTCACCCGGCACTCTGGGCTGGGCTGGCCTGCGACAGAAGGTGGTGCGGGCGGGCTTGCTTGAAGGTTCATGGGAACTTATAAATGGGGTTCTAAGTAGGGTAACAATAGTTATAACCAACGTTGTATGGGGCACTTATAGCCCTGCTTATGAGTGCCCATGAACCTTCAAGTAGAGCACCAATCTCTCGGCCCTTGACGGCTCATTTGCCAGGATGTGTTGAACCCCTCAGTATGGCCTGGCGGTCTGGAGATCGAACACGTCGATCTCGCCAGTTTTTCAGCTGGGTTGTACAAGTCGAGTCCCTGTTCACTCGAAGAGGCAGTGGATGAAGTGGCATGTTAGCACAAGTATCAAGAACATGTACTATAGCTTAGCTATCGCCATGAGGAAGAGACGACGAGACGAAGCTTACCAATACACAGAACTCTCACCGACCCGAGTGGGCTTTTGAAGGCACGGTGGATGAATCCGCTGATTCCCCAAAGTCCTCGCCCTTGAGCAACTTTTGAAATGCACATGCGCTTGTTAGGGTTTAGGATTTTAGGCGCTGTGTTCTCTGGACTTTGGGGTGAGATTGGCGAAAGATCGGGCGCTAGACGGGACATGTCAGTGTGGCAGCGTTCACGATGGCATGTCTTCAGAGCGTCACATGGTCACTTCCTCTGTATCATGGTCCCTTTTGGGGTTACTCTTATAAGGCGGCCCCTAGGGCTTAGGGTTTAGGGTTAAGGGATACCCAAAGGGACCATCATTTGGAGAACTGGCCACAAAACAGCAGGTGAGATTCTAGAGCGAGCTGTGCAAGTTTCACAGGGACCTGATTTAGGGCCTTCTCCTCAAAGCCGCGATGCCCCTTCAGATGCCAAACGCAGATCAAAAGTTGCGGCAGGAGCGCCCAACCCTAAACCCGCCCTAAACCCCAAACCCCAAACCCCAAACCCTAGACCCTAAACCCTTTGGCACAAGGGCCACTTGGCAGCACCAAGCTGAGGAAAGCGCTTTGGGTTACATACCCCCCTTGAACCCTCCTCCCTTGAACTCTATAACCTCACGGCCAACTTCGCACCAGGGAGGCTGTCATTTTTTCGGTTTAATTTATTTGTTTTGTTTTTTTTTGTTTGGGGGGGGGGGGGGGGTGTTAGGGTTTTGGGGGTCTTAGGGTTTTAAGGTTTTGGGGTCTTAGGGTTTTAAGGTTTAGGATTTGAGGGCGAAGGCTTCCCCCATCTTTGCTCCACAGCCCATCCGAAGCCGCAGCAATCCCGGGCCTTTCATCTGCTCGTAGTTGCCGTTTCCCGAAAGGGGGTTACTTTGGGATGTTCCCCCCTTATACTAACAGTCCTTAGTAGGGAATATGATAGGGGATGCTCAAATCCCTATTAAGGACTGTTCGCTGCCGTTCGTACCTGTTTCGCGCCTCGATAAGGAGGGGCCCTACGGTACATTGCACTAGAGACGAACCTTGGCTTCCCTTGAGGACTGTTCGTATAAGGGGAACATCGCAAGGGTTTCTCCTTGTAGATCCGAAGAGGATATTCCCTTTTGAAAGGATCCCTTTCCCCCCTCCCCAAACAGGGTTTGGAGGTGTCGGTGTACTCCACTTAAAAAGGCCCCCCGCCCCCGCCCCCCCTCCCCCCCCGCCAAAAAAAAAAATCACACAAAGAAGAAAAAGGTGCCCCAGTTTGCCCTTAACCCTGGAACCCTAAACCCTAAACCCTAAACCCTAAACCCTAAACCCTAAACCCTAAACCCTAAACCCTAAACCCTAAACCCTAAACCCTAAACCCTAAACCCTAAACCCTAAACCCTAAGACCGGCTTAAGAATGCCCCATATCGAGGCGAAGGTTCTCTGCTCTGGGCACCTCAACGTGGAGCGCAAGGGGCAGGTGGGGGTTTGCTTGGGTTTACGGTTTAGGGTTTAGGGTTTAGGGTTTAGGGTTTAGGGTTTCGGGTTTAGGGTTTAGGGTTTCGGGTTTAGGGGCCTAGGGGTACCCTTTTTTGAGGGTTCCTCTATCGTAAGGGCTAGAGAGCATTCTGTGGCTTCCGGGACTCCCGCCCCACCCCCACCCCCACCCACATTCTGGAAATCACCCTAAACCTTGTAAAAGCCTAAACCTCAAACTCTAAACCCAAACCATAAAGCCCTAAGCCCGAAGCTCTAAACCTAAACCCTAAACTGCACTACTTGCTTTTGGTTGTGGTCAGGTCAAGACGCCCTTCTTCGTTCTGCGGCAAGACAGCGTGTTCCTCACAAACCCACCTGCGGTGCTGGGCCTGCGTGCCTTCTTTTTTTGACTTAGGGTTTAGGGGTTGATGTTCCCCCTGATACTAACAGTCCTTCTAGGAGGGATTAGAGTACCCCTATCATAATCCCTATTCAGGACTCTTAGTATAAGGGCGAACATCCCAAGTTTAGGCATTTTTCGGGGTGTTTTGGTCTCGGGGTACCTGCAAATACCTGCAGTCAAGGCCTCGAGCGCTATGAGACAGCGGCTGACTTCGAGAAGGGCCAGGACGAGTCTGCAGAGCGAAGTGGGGGTTTACGATACTCAGGGCCCCCCCTGATATAGATCCCCCAAATAGTAGGGACTTCTTGTAAGAAGGACCCCAATAAGGTACGCCTTTCGTGGCGCCTTGTGCGGGTCTCTCCGCCTCCCGCGGATCAAAAACTCAACGGCCACGAGCAGCGAGACAAATGCACTAGCAACTAGCAGCATTAAACTGGGGCCCATGCTTGCAGCTCCTTCCATGGCAACTATTTAGGCCATGGCGGAATCGCAAAACGCCCCTAGCTCCCTTCAGTGGCTTTCTGCAGCATGGCCTTTGGTGCTTGTGGTACCATTGCTGGCCATGCTCTTCCTTGACCATCTCGCTGCTATGTGTTCAACAATTGCGACAGGGCCTGGTTCATTCCTGGGTTCGTCTCCATGGAAGGTGAGGGACGCTGAGAAACCCCTTCTCCTGCAGTAGGAGGGCTGGGAAGCTCGGAGGAATCTACTGAGAGCCATGTCGTTGCCTGCAGCGGAGCTTTGCCTTGAATCGGGGGAACGTGTTGTAGTCCTCCGATTCAGAGCTTCCCCTTGCTGTCTGCTTGCGGCCGCGTTGCGTGCTGATGGCCAGGAGGCACGCGCCATGCCCTTGGCGGACATCGAGAAAATCACGGCCTGGGGCCTGGTGGGCGCTGCAGCTTCGGTTCTTGCGTGCTTCCGCTGCTTCGCAAGATGCTGTGCAATAGGGGCCGAAAGAAGTACGCAAGCAAAAATTAGGATGGCGATATCCCATCTAAATGCCCTTATCATGAAGCCGAATGAGGTAGGACATCAGCTCATTGCTCATGTCTTTTTTCGGGCCCCCTATGCAAGGTCAAGGATCTGCGAATCACTCTCGAAGTGAGGCAGGGATTTCCAAGCTGGCTTGTTGAAAGCTTCCCCCCCCAACCCCCCCCCCCCAACCCCCAACCCCCCCCAATCCCCCCCAACCCCCAAAACCCAACCCCCCACCCCCCTAACCCCCCCCCCCCCCCCCCCCCCCTAACACCCCTACCACCCCCTCACACCCCTAACGCCCCTAACACCCCTAACACCCCTAAAACCCTAAAAACCTAAACTTCAAAACCCCAAAACCCCAACACCCCAAAACCCCCGTACCCTAAACCTCTAAACCCTAAACCCCAAAACCCCCCAAGCCTCGGACCCGCGAGATACAGAACTCCCAAGAGGGCTCAGGGTTCAGGGTTCAGGGTTCAGGGTTTAGGGTTTAGGGTTTAGGGTTTAGGGTTTGGGGACTCAAGACGCGGACCCGCCAGGGGCCAGAAGAAGCCCATAGAGTTCCAGGTGGACAGCGCCAAGGCTCAGACTATCTCAGACTGGGGGGCTTAGGGTTTAGGGTGTAGGGTTTAGGGTTTAGGATTTAGGGTTTAGGGTTTACCCCCGAAAAGGACACCCGGTATATACACTCACCAATGTCAAAAAGGAACCTTATATACACTCACCAATGACAGTAGTATCAACGCTACTTCAGTCTGTTGAGGGGTTCAGGATTTTGCGGAATGGGTTTGGGAAGATAGGGAATGCACGGGAATCAATCGTCGTGGGGTCGCAGTGGCTAGTCTCTCTTGCCCAGCCGTGACCAACTTGATGTCCATGTCTTGGTAGTGCGATCTTGGTATGGAATACCCATCATGCCGACACCCTAAACCCTAAACCCTAAACGCTAAACCCTAAACCCTAGACCCGAAACCCGAAACCCTAAACCCTAAACCCTAAACCCTAAACCCTAAACCCTAAACCCTAAACCCTAAGCCCTAAACCCTAAACCCTAAACCCTAAACCCTAAACCCTAAACCCTAAAGGAGTTTGCACAGTGGGGCCGATCGTTGGAGAAGCTGCTCGCGCAACGATTGGGGGTGGCTCGACGGCAACTTGAGAATCAGGACGGGCAGGGACGCAGCCTGTAGATAATTGTAGATCCCTAAACCCTAAACCCTAAATCCTAAACCCTAAACCCTAATTAAACCTAAACCCTAAACCCTGAACCCCAAACCCTAAACCCTAAACCCTTATTGGCCATGGCTCGTGGCGCGGTGTGGCCTTCTGGACAATATGGATGTGTGATATTTGTCCGGCTAGCTGCTGGAATGCGTAGTATCAGTAAAATGTTAAGTCCTGCCACACGTCCGAAGAGCCTGAGACCAAGGCAAACTTCGTGTCCGTCAGAGAAGGCGGGTATCGGTCCGGAATACCCTAAACCCTAAACCCTAAATCCTAAACCCTAAACCCTAAACCCTAAACCCTAAACCCGACACGAGTAGTTGCCATGAACTCGCACATCAGGCCCCGGTGCTGGGGAGCCCTCAGATCCTGCCAGTGGCCATGCCAGTGCCAGTGCCAGCGGCGCGAAGCTCAGGTTCAGGGTCTAGGGTCTAGGGTTTAGGGTTTAGGGTTTAGGGTTAAGGGTTTAGGGTTTAGGGTTTGGGGTTTGGGGTTTGGGGTTTGGGGTTTGGGGTTTGGGGTTTGGGGTTTGGGGTTTGGGGTTTGGGGTTTGGGGTTTGGGGTTTCCGAAAGCAGGGGTACCTCATCGTGGTCCTTATTACAGGGGAATCTTACTAGTTGGGGCTCCTTATCAAGATCCCTCATTTTCGGAAACCCCCGTATTTCCGTTGCTGGAGAGCCACCAGATCTCGAAAGTGTCATACTTTATACAGTTAGGATCACAAGCAGCCCTGCTCTGCTCCTCTGCTTGAAGCGTCTACAGACGACTACAGTCTAGATCAGTCTAGTAGAATCTTCTAGCATCTATCATTGGGCGGCAAAACCCGTGGTGGACATGCGGACATGAGGTAAAACTTTTTGATGTGTCGAAGTCAGCAGTGCCAAATCTGCATCTGAGGTGGAACTACACCACGGGATGTGGTTGCGGCTGAATTGTTGATGCTTCATACAAATGTGTACTTGTCATTTGTGAGCAAACGACGTCAACCACGTTAGGCTAACTTGGGAGTGCTGAAGTTGACCACAGTCTGACTCCACAGTCTGCACACTGCCAGGCGCCGAGGGTCCTATGTGTGGGCCTTACTTGCAGCATGCATCTTGATGAGGTTGGCCTTCATGCCTGCCAGAATTTTGGCCCTATAGGCGAAGGCGACCTCCTCGTGCTCAAGAAAAACAGAGAAGATCCGAGGCGAGCCGCCAAAGTCAAGCACAAGGATCAGCACATCAACAAGAACACAGAGAGAGAGAGACACACACACACACACACACACACACACACACACACACACACACACACACACACACACACACACACACACACACACACACACACACACACACCCCCACACACACACACACACACACACACACACACACACACACACACACACACACACACACACACACACACACACACACACACACACACACACACACACGACACACACACACCCACACACACACACCACACACACAAACAACCCACCACACACACACACCCACACACACACACCCACACACACAACACACACACACACACACACACACACACACACACACACACACACACACACACACACACACACACACACACACAACACCACACACACAACACACACACACACCAACACAACACACACACACACACACACACACACACCACACACACACACACACACACCCACACACACCACACACACACACACCACACACACACACCACCACACACACACCACACACACACACACACCACACACACACACACACACACACCACACACACACACACACACACACACCACACACACACACACACACACACACACACACACACACCACGCACACCCGCGCACACGCGCGCACACGCGCGCACACGCGCGCACACGCGCGCACACGCGCGCACACGCGCACACACGCGCACACACGCGCGCACACGCGCGCACACGCGCGCACACGCGCACGCACGCGCACGCACGCGCCCGCACGCGCCCGCACACGCGCACACGCGCACACGCGCACACACGCACACACGCACACACGCATACACGCACACACGCACACACGCACACACGCACACACGCACACTTACACGCACACACACACACACAAAAACGAACAACAAACAAACACTCACTTACTTACTTACTTACCTACCTACTTACTTACTTGCTTACACACCTTCTTACGCACGTACTTACTTACTTCCTTACTTACTTCCTTACTTACTTGCATAAATACTTACTTACTTACTTACTTGCTTACACTCACCCCACACTTACTTACTTGCACTCACTCACTTACTCCCTCCCTCACTCCCTCACCCCTCACTCACTTACTTACTTACTCACTCACTCACTTACTTACACACTTTCACGCACTTACACACACACACATGGGTGGTTGTCAAAATTATGGTAGCTTTTTGGATCCCTCGCAGAATACGGCACTTAACATCTAGGGTACCCCCAAAAAGGGACCATAATTTTGACGGCCACCCACATACACACGCTGCCACACACACATACACACACTTACACACACTTGCACACCCGCGCACACCAAAAGAGGGCCGGAAGGCTTGGGGTGTGGGCATTTTCCCAAATAGAGCTGCCACGAGTATACCCCAACATCTGATAATCCCGATACCCTTAACCCTATACCTACTTTTCTGAAACCTTCATGACTCCACAGGAAAAGGTGGCTGGCCTCGCAACCAAGCCGTGTAGGCACTGACATCTGATCCCAGCCAAACCAGAAACCTGAGAAAGACAGAGCCCACAGAATTGTTAAAGCTACTTGCAGAAGATTTCCCGAAACAACCCTGCATCTCAAAAACAAGTCCACTGACTTTCTTAACCAATGTTTGCTTCATTTAGCAGTCCTATTTCCAGATTACCGCTTCACCCTAAACCCTAAACCCTGTACTCGCCACTGGTTCAAAGACCGCCGAGCCACCATGCAATTGTGCAAAAGGGCGCTGCTCTCACGAGAGCATTTGGAACTCCCCTGATCCCATTTGGTTTAGGGTTGAGGGTTTAGGTTTTTTTCCCCCAAGTGTGCGTGCGCACCGGTCAATAGCATTTTTCCATGGGCGGCTGACACGAGTTCCGAACAGCAAAGACCGGCACTGAACGGTGTGCATGTGCTCCAGGACGGCCTTAACTCTTACCAATCAAAATGCCAGTTCGCCTGGTTTAGGGTTAAGGGTTTAGGGTTTAGGGTTTAGGTGGGGGCGTCAGGTATTGCGTCTTGCGCACAGATTGCTTCGAGTGCCCCGCACGTGAGTATCTTGCAAGAAATCGGTTCTGACCACTTGTGCCACTGAACTCCTTGGCCCCCTGCAGGTACTTCAGCAGCAAGGAGGATTATCAAGCAGGCTACATTCCTAGCCCGACTGTTGCCCGCGCATCTGGCTGACAAGTCCCATGTCACAATGCAGGTGTTGCCGCACGGGCGCGTGCCCTCATTGAGGACATCACTTCATTTGAGGCAGCATGGGCTGAAAGCATGTTTTTAACTGGTGTCTAATATAATATGGCATTATATTCTATTAAATTACATCAAATCATATTAAAATCTACTGAATTGTACTAAATTATATTAAGTTATCTTAAATTACATTAAGTTATATTAAGTTAAGTAAAATTATATATAAATATAAATATAAATAAATATATATATATATTTCTTTATATGATCGATGTGAAGAGAACTGATGTCATGTCGAGGTGTTGGAAGGTGGCGTCATGGAAGCCTGACCCTCAGAGCTCACGGCCCCACCCCCCCCCAGGTCTCTTCCACCTCATGCCGCGCGGTGTCTTAGTTCCGTTTAGGGTTTAGGGTTTAGGGTTTAGGGTTTAGGGTTTAGGGTTTAGGGTTTAGGGTTTAGGGTTTAGGGTTTAGGGTTTAGGGTTGCTTAGTTCCTTTTCGTCAATTTCTCCTAGTTGGTGGAACTTCTCAGGTGTGTTGGTTGCCCTCAAGTGAAATTTAGTTTGGTCTGGTGAGATGCAAGTGGTGGTAGTTCACTTCCTCGCGCACTCAGCCACAATGCATGCAAGCGATGTCATGCCTTCCAACTGGGCGGAGAGATGCTTGCTCCGCCGTCTTGTCGCGGTTTGCCTTGACTGCGTTTCCTACAGATGCTCAAGGGCTCGGAAATGTAGAGCGAACCCAATGTTGGCTCACTCCACCAGTGAGACCCGATCTTTCGGAAGCTATGAATGTTCGACTGCAGGTGCTGTGAGCTAGTGGTGGTTCAGAAAGCAGCTCGATTCAGAAAGTCGTCCGATTCGCGACTGCTCCAATTCAGACGATCCCGATGCAAGAACTATCGCGATAGCTTGCTTGCCGCCCTGCCCTCACCTACCGTCTTTCTAAGTTGGCTCTCCCACAAGTCGACTGCCTTCAGCATGTGCATAAGTTTCCATGTCAGCGGTTGTCGGCTTGTCAATGAGTGTTCCGCATGATGCTTGGTCAGTGCATCATGCTTGTCGAATCTTAGATAGCCAGCATCGTCTCCATGGTTTTGGAAATTTGGAACTAGGGCACCACGACGCTTGCTCGTCAAGAATTGCGAGCTGTGTCCGTATAGGCAAAGCTTTAGAACTTATGGTAGTGACGATCGGATGGGCTTGTGACCGACATGAGTGAAGCACTGCCGCATGCATACGGTTCCGTCCTCTGCTACTCTATGCCTGCGGCTTGAGGTGGAGCTGGGTGACAAGAAGCTGGCATTCAAAGCCACGAGTCCTGAGGCGCAACGATCATGCGCGATTGCACGCATGAGTACTGCCAAGATTGCACTGCCAGCCTGTTTCTTCTGTATCTTTCTGCAAAGGTGATCTTCTGTGTCTTGCTGTAAAGTTGATTGCGAGAAATTGCTCACGGCATGTTGCAGCGAGTGTTGCAGCAAGTAGTCGCCCTGCCCTACATTTTCATCTGTGGCGACGCCCTAAACCCTAACCCCTAAACCCTAAACCCTAAAACCCTAAACCCTAAACCCTAAACCCTAAAACCCAAACCCCAAACCCCAAACCCCTAAACATCGTACACGCGAAGGATCTCCAGCGCTGGCAGACGGCCTGGGAGACCGATCCGGATGAGCTGCTTGCAGCTGAGGCCCAGAAGCAAGGGGGCTTCCCAGAAGGGTTTAGGGTTTAGGGTTTAGGGTTTAGGGTTTAGGGTTCCAGAAGCAGGGGTTTTGGTGTCGGTGTCTGCCTTGAGTCTTCTCTTTGGCCTCGTTTGAGAGCGCAAACCCGAAAATCCCAAAAAGCCTTAGACGGTTGAAATCTGCTGAAACTTCGCTCGGCGCGACCCTTGGCAGAAGCCACAAGCAACAGCGCCCAAGACGGGGTACTGCCCTCAGACTGTTCTTCTCGCAGAGAGGTGCCCATCTTGACTCCTGGCTTGCGAAGAAATACCAGGTCCCTGGCAGTTCCAAAAGCACGGGTGGTGACTTCGGGCAGGCGGGTTGACATACCACATCATGACCACTCTGTTTTCCTTGTTATTCCCTGCGTTCCCTTGTTTGCCGATCCCTCGTTCTTGCACCCACTGCTAGAAGTTGCTTTTCTTCTTCTTACTCATGCTGCACGGTTGCTGTGCAATCGAACTGAGTGCGTCTTGCTTCATGGAGGCTCAAAGGCAGTCTGTTGGGCACACTTACATGCCAGTCTTTCATAGCCTCCACGTCAACACTCCATAATCACGCTTCGGTGAGATCCCATCATGCGAAAGCATGGCTGTGGCCTGCCATGTCAACCAGCAACCAGCGAGGCGAAGCAAGCGACTTTACAGAACCTGTCAGGCTTGAATGCGGGTGTACGGTCCTAGCCTGCTGGGCAATGAGCTTCAAGCGCCTTTGCAGCTGCCTGCGCTCTCCAAAGGAACCTGGCCGGCAGGCAGGGGCTTGTCCTTTAGGGTTTAGGGTTTAGGGTTTAGGGTTTAGAGGAGGCTGATGGTCGGCTGCCCCGGGGTAGACGGCTGTCGAACCGAGTCGTGCAGAGCATGCCAAGCCGCAATGTCAGTAAAGCGCATCGGGCTTGTCGGCCTTGTGGATTGTAGGCTGTAGCTTCATGAGATGCAGATTACAGCTCATGTCAGGCGTTGAATGACAAGACGGGCCTTGAAGCGCCACCTCCAAAGGCACGCGGGGGTGTAGACGAGCTGCTTCAGACACACGTGATGTCGGTAGTTCTCTGCATTAAGTGGCCCCTTTTTGAGTCCCATTTCTTGTACGAACGAAGGACCCCCAGAGAGACCCTGGTTTTAATGCTACGCGATCCGCCCCGGCTTGGGGTCTGGTCAGCTTTCACAAAAAATGACTCTTGTCTAGACTACACGGATTCCTAGACTTTACTAGATGTAAAAGCTCTTTACCTCGACAGCAAGAGGCGCTTATTGTTCTTAAGACTCCACCATGTGGGGCATTCTCCGCATGACTCCACCCCGAAACCCTCAACCCTAAACCCATATGGGGGGATTCTCACAATTCTGGTCTCGTTTCGGGTGGCCTAAACGAAAAGGCCCCCGGAGTATCGTAGGAACCCCGCAAGGGACCACAGAGTAGAGAAACTCGCGCAAAAGGATCCCCGGGCAACCACCTGCACCCTACACCCTAATCCCTAAGCCCTGAACCCTAAACCCTGAACCCTAGACCATGAACCCTAAACCCTAAACCCTAAACCCTAAACCCTAAACCCTAAACCCTAAACCCTAAACCCTAAACCCTAAACCCTAAACCCTAAACCCTAAACCCTAAACCCTAAACCCTGAACCCTAAAGGGCACCTGTGGGAAGGCTTCCTAAGCGTGCGGGGGTCTCGGTGGGTCTCTCTGGGAAGGCCTGGGAGAGGAGGGAATTGAACCCTTTATGAATTTTGGGCGGGTTTAGGGTTTCAGGGGTTAGGGTTTCAGGGTTTCAGGGTTTCAGGGTTTCAGGGTTTCAGGGTTTCAGGGTTTCAGGGTTTCAGGGTTTCAGGGTTTCAGGGTTTCAGGGTTTAGGTTTAGGGTTTAGGGTTTAGGGTTTAGGGTTTAGGGTTGAGGGTTGAGGGTTTAGCAACGCCTGTGGCTCCGGCGACCATCACAGCCACGGCAGGGCTTCCATTCCGTACCTCCCAGAACATGAGTTCTGAATGAGAACTGCAATTTTTACTCAGATCTAGGAGTTTGCCTGCTTTTTCCTAAACCCTAAACCTTAAAACCCTAAAACCCTAAACCCTAAACCCTGAACCCTAAACCCTAAACCCTAAACCCTAAGCCCTAAGCCCTAAACCCTAAACCCAGTGCTTGTCCAGGACCAGGCCCGAGCAGCTGCAGCTTCTCAGATGAGGAAGGCAGTGTCGAGAGCGCTCTTTCCATACATATCTGGGACATGTGGGGGGTGGCTTCCGAAATTAGGGGGTTTAGGGTTTAGGGTTTAGGGTTTAGGGGTTTCCGAAATTAGGGGTACCCGATTGGGGTCCTTATTAGAAGGAAATCCTACTACTGGTATGTGGGGACTATACTTGGGGTCCCGAATACATCTTGAACATGTCGGGGGGGTTCCGAAATTAGGGGTACCCCATTATTAACCCGTATAAACCCGACTATTAACCACTATAAGCCCTATTATTTTCACTATAAACCCCTATAAGCGACTTATTATAAGGGAGTCTCTATTGGGGGGTCCCGTATTTTGGTAAACTCCCATGTCTCTGGCATGTTCAAAGAACAGGAACCGCAGCACAGACAAGAGCACTATCAGTGCTATCAGGTATATCAAGCCCTAAACCCTAAACCCTAAACCCTAAACCCTAAACCCTAAACCCTAAACCCTAAACCCTAAACCCTAAACCCTAAACCCTAAACCCTAAACCCTAAACCCTAACCTAAACCCTAAACCCTAAACCCTAAACCCTAAACCCTAAACCCTAAACCCTAAACCCTAAACCCTAAACCCTAAACCCTAAACCCTAAACCCTAAACCCTAAACCGAAAACCCTAAACCCTAAAAACCCTAAACCCTAAACCCTAAACCCTAAACCCTAAACCCTAACCCTTAACCCTTAATCCTTAACCCTAACCCTAAACCCGGACTTCCAAGTTCCTGAAGACTCGCTGTGTAGTGTCGAATCTCGGGCCTGGGCCTGAGAGGGCGACATCTTTGTCCAGAAGCCTCAGTCCGCTGTTGCTTAGTCTGCGTTTTTTGCATGCGTAGTTGAATAGACTCCGGCAACCACTGGGCAACCAGCAGGCAAACCCGTAATCCTGAACCCTAAACCCTAAACCCTTAACCCTAAACCCTTTACCCTAAGCGAACGCAGTTTTGCTGCAAAGAAGCTTGCGTGCGCCATCGCCTGGAGGGCGCGGTGCCCAGCGCCTCCGTGGTTGAAAGCTCCCCATTGGTGTCTGCGAAGGCGCCTGCGTGAAGCTGAGGGATTGAGGGGTTGAGGGGTCGAGGGATTTAGGGTTTAGTCCCTAAACCCTAAACCCTAAACCCCGAACCCTAAACCCTGAACCCTAAACCCTAAACCCCTACACCCTAAACCTCTAAACCCTAAACCCTGGGGGTTTGAAGGGAACAGGAGTGCAGACGGGAGCCACGGGAATCGGAATCTCCCGTCTGCGCAGGCAGCCGGACCTCAACCCGAAGGCTGGAGAAGGGACCCGGTTTAGGGTTTAGGGTTTAGGGTCTAGGGTCTAGGGTTGTTACAGGACTTGTAGGGTTTATGGGGTGTATAGGCTTGGCAGGGTTGATAGGGTTGATAGGGTTGATAGGGTTGATGGGGTTTATAGGGTTTCCATAGGGTTCAATGGGTCTATTTTGTAGACTTTCCAGGGTTTGCAGGGTTTCTAGGGTTAGTAGGGCTTATAGGGTTTATAGGGATTATAGGGAATGCAGCGTTTACAGGGTTTACAGGCTTTTATAGGGTCGATGGAGATGGTATTTGGTGGGTCAGCTGAGATTTGATGCGAGGCAGGGTTGCCAGCCGGGGTAGGACCATGCCATGTGCTGCATAGGGTTTAGGGTAAGGGTTTAGGTTTAGGGTTTAGCGTTTAGGGTTTAGGGTTTAGGGTCTAGGGTCTAGGGTTTTAGGTCTTTGACGTGCTGTGAGTCCGTGAGAGGAGAAAGGACAAGCCAAGAGAGCTCGCCTTTGAATTCATTGCAGATGGCAGCTTGGCTGATATAGTGCTTATATCATGGAGTTGTTGTATCATAGTGTTCTATTTTTAGAAAACACTTTTATACTTAGTATATTGCTATAGTAACACTTATTTTAACATCCTAATATTGATTAGTACTATTTTGTTGTACTATGTTCTCATATTCTTATAATTGTATAGTAATAAATTGTTATGTCAATAACATATGACTTTATGATTATATTGATATATCAGTATATTGTTTGTCAAGCACAAGCTAAGCGCAGGATTCTGAACTGAATGACACCAGCCTGACTTGTCCTTATGATCAGCTGCAAAGTCCCCTAAACCCCAAATAAACCCTAAACCCAAAACCCCAAACCCTAAACCCCAAACCCTAAACCCTGAAGTCAATCAGTGCCGGAGAGGCAAAACCAGTCCAAGAGCACCTGGCTGTCTCTGGCAACCACAGCGTGCAGATCGAGAGGGCGCAGCAAAGCTCAACCGTCATGCAGTTTAGGGTTTAGGGTTTAGGATTTAGGGTTTAGGGTTTAGGGTGTTAGGGTGCTTCTTTTTGTCATTTCCAAGCTTCAAAGTTACAGTCGCAGCGGACACGATGCGAGAGTGACCGTCGCATTAAGCACATTTCTCTGCCGAGAGAGAGAGCTTGCGAATGCCAACAATGAGGCTGAAGTACCTCACCTGCTGGCTAGATGAGACATGGGTCGCGCAGCACAACGATGCCTCCTTGCTTGAACTTTCTGTTCATGACCCCCTGAAACGATTGCGTGAGTTGAGGTGTCTTTAATGGAAAACCCTAAACCCTAAACCCCCTAAACCCTAAGCCTAAGTGTCGGGGCCCCTGGCCCTAAGCCCTAAACCCTAAACCCTAAACCCTAAACCCTAAACCCTAAAGCCTAAACCCTTGAGGGCCTCTGGCTCTTGAGGTTGCCTACTACTTCCGATTGCCGATGGCCTTCATCGAAGCCGGGCGTGAGGCTGAGGCGCTTTTTTGGCCCTCTTAGACCATGTACTGGCACATGATGGTAATTTCTGTTTTTGTATATTATCGTACATATGTATATATATATATATATATATATGATAGTATATGATAGTATATGATAGTATATGATAGCATATGATAGCATATGATAGCATATGATAGTATATGATAGTATATGATAGTATATGATAGTATATGATAGTATATGATAGTATGTGATCGTATATGATAGTATGTGATAGTATGTGATAGTATATGATAGCATATTATGTTATTCGGTTCTTGCCCATTACTATATATTTCTTTGTTCTTATTATATTCATACATTCATGTATCACTATACAATTAGCCTTGCAAGGGGGTGCCATGCTCTGCTTGCATGTACTTGCCAAGAGACGGATGTGAGACACTGCGGGGGAAAGGGACGACAGACCAGTGACCCTAAACCCTAAACCCTAAACCCTAAACCCTAAACCCTAAACCCTAAACCCTAAACCCTAAACCCTAAACCCAAAACCCAAAACCCAAAACCCAAAACCCTAAACCCTAAACCCTAAACCCTAAACCCTAAACCCTAAACCCAGGCACTCTGTCACTGTCTAGTCTAGTCTTCCTGGCTGCTTCACGTTACGCCCCAGACCAGCCCAAAGCCATCTGACGGTACGATCTTTGCAGCGCCGGTCAGTGTTGCAGCATGCACGTGTAAGCCCAACCCTAAACCCTAAACCGTAAACCCTAAACCCCAAACCCTAAACCCTGAACCCTAGATCCTAAACATGGCGCTGCGCATCTGTTTCATTCTGGTAGCATCGTCAGGCGCGAAAAGCGTTGGACATTGCTTCTCAGTTTGTTCTGGCAAATAGAACGAGTGCCTGGGCTGCACCATGCGCATTGTGAGAAATGGTCTGTTTTTTCATGCCTCATGTCATCCAGGTTCGCAGAGGCTTTCTTCTGCCCACCCGCAGCTACTTGGTACTACTTGGTGACATTGTAATGCTTGTTGAAACCCTAAACCCTAAACCCTAAACCCTAAACCCTAAACCCTAAACCCTAAACCCTAAACCCTGGTGAACAATGCACAGTGCAGCTCGCGCTCGTGTGAGGTACCCACTTCTGTGGGTTTGCGAAGCAGCCGGTCGGCTTGGCCGGAATGAGCTTGCAATGATGCCTGGCTGAGGTTTAGGGTTTAGGGTTTAGGGTTTAGGGTTGAGGGTTTAGGGTTTAGGGTTTAGGGTTGAGGGTTTAGGGTTTAGGGGAGGAGGTCATGAGAACCCAACAGTCTCGCACGTCGGACATCGCAACATGGCACAGAAGTTGCACCCATCCTCACACGAGATGGCAGAAAACGGAAAGCTATTCCGTGTTGGAAGCTCGCAAGGTAGGGCAGTCAGATTTCCGCATGCCTGTTTCAGAAGGTAGCATGCAGCCCTGTGCTAAGGAGATGTGTGGAGGATATCTTCAGATACAGGCGACAGGGGCAACTGTGAATCGCTGACGCCGGCATGCTTCCATTCCTCTGCATGCTCACGTCAGGCATCCACTAACCAACAGCGGCTTGCTGTCCGAGTACACCTGGAATGGAACCTATGAGGCATGCTGAACAAAGCGGCCTCTGTTGCGGAAGCATGGACTTGTAGTTCTGAGCCACTGCCGCGCAGGCAGACTTCTTTGCGACTGCCGTGGTTGCTAAGGCATGTACGCCTGTCGACATTGTTGCAGACTGACACGGCATGACATAGACATGGATATGACATTGTTGCGATTGGCGAGGCTGCTGTGCTCAGTGGTCACGAAGCTGTCGCAAAAGCAGCAGCAGACTCGCTGCTGCGTGCTGTTGACGCGAACAGGAAGACAACTTGAGTTCCACAAACTCGGCAGTCAATATGTGCACGTTGTGCTCAACACCCTGAAGTGGCCGTAAACCCTAGACCCTAAACCCTAAACCCTAAGCCCTAAACCCTAAACCCTAAACCCTAAACCCTGCTGTGCCAAGAAGCCTGACGTCTGCAGGAGACACATGGCGGCTGGCCACTTTTTCCTGCGCTGGACGTGGGCTGATGGCTTCCTGGAGCGAGCCGACGTGCCTTTGCAGGAAGTTGTACTCGTATACTATATGATAGTAGTATATTATATTATATTACATTATATTATATTATATTTTCTTATATTAACGTAAATTACGTTATGTTATATTAAATAAAATTAGGTTATATTATGTCATATATTGAAAATAAAATTCTTGTATATTATAAAATTGTATATTCTATATAATCCATTATATATAATATATAATATATCATATATTATACATTATATTATTGTATACTATTGTAGTATATTATATTATAGTAGTATATTATACTATTTTGGTAAAATTTTGTAGTTAGTATTAGTAGTTTTTTTAGTTTTTTCAGATTTTCGAATATGAATACATGAGTATATTGGTATATTGGTATATTCGTATATTTGTATATCAGTATAGTAGTATGATTAGTATACTCTTGTAGTAGTATACTTATAAGTATATTCTTATACTAGTATATTAGTTTGTTCTTATAGTAGTATCTTATCATATTCGAATTTTATTCTAGTGTCACATCAATCATGTTTATAGTAGAAAATTCTTATTCGATTCGCATATGATTGTTTTATTATATGATTGTAGTAGTATGTTGATTTTGGAGTATATTATGAAATTCGCATATCAATACATTGTCATATTGGTATGCTAGTATACTAGTATCTTAGTATATTAGCATATTAGTGTATATTAGTATCTCAGTATTCTATTTTTTAGTATGTTAGTATATTAGTATATTAATAACAATAATTACTATATTCGTTTTGTAGTATATTCCCAGATTAGTATATGAGTGTATTGGTATATTAGTATTATCTTCGATGTGCAACGCCCAAAGGTAATTGCTTGTGCCAAGGACCCGCTATACTGTGTTAGCACGCTGGGCGACCAACAGTTTCTCGGCAAAGCTGGCGTGTAAACCCTAAACCCTACTGCAAACCCTAAACCCTAGGCCCTAAACCCTAAACCCTGAACCCTAAACCCTAAACCCTAAACCCCTGAACCGTGTTGTGCCTCCACTGGTGCTCTGACGGTGCTCATTGCTGTCACTGAGGCTCTATTTTTTGCTTGGCTTACCCTCAGTCGTGCTGCTGGAAGTGGCAGCATCCTTCAGGCGGGCACCCTAAACCCTACACCCTAAACCCTAAGCTCTAAGCCCCTGTTTTTGGGCACGCAGCGTTGTGCGAACAGAGAATGCCGCTCTGTACAGGTGTATTGCGGACTCCGCGAAGAAGCAGTACCAGACTGCGGCACAGGAGCTGCAGCTCGGCGATGAGGGTTTACTGATTAGGGTTTAAGGTTTAGGGTTTGAGGTTTAGGGTTTGAGGTTTAGGGTGTTTAGGGTTTAGGGTTTAAGGTCTAGGGTCTACGGTTTAGGGCTTAAGGTTTGGGATTTAGACCGTCTGAGCAAAGCGCATGTGGCCCCTGGCACCGACCTGCAAAATGTGTCTGAGGTAATCTACATTGCTGTTAGTTATTGGTGAGTGTACACTGAAGGTTCCTCATACATTATTGATGAGTGCATATATGAACCCCACAGCCTGTCCTTTTTGGGGATATTACAAGTAGCAACAAAAACCCTATCCACGCAGTTGGAGCAATACGGCAATTTGTTTCATCGCAGATCTTGAAATGGGTCATTCGTAGTGTGAGAGTGGTTGCAGATGCAGCCTCATGTTACCTCATCTCCTTCGAGCATCGGGATGTGAGGTTACAGGAATCGTGATGTCGTGAGTGCTGCAAACTTCCCCGTTTTCGAGTCTAGACACGCGGGTTGATGACCACTACTGACGAACTATGCAGCAAACATGCTTCAAGCAAGTCGTAGAAGATAAGTCCGTAGGCAAACGTAGTGATTCCTGACGCCACTGACACCCTGTCGCAGCCCAAAAATGTGAATTTAAAGCCCTTAGGCCTAAACACCAAGCATCTGATAGTACAATGTTGTTCGGATTCCCTGGAGGTTACAGTACCTCAAAGGCTGCAAGCACTTGTTCACAGCCTCCACGTCTTACACGTGTGCGACGGCTGCTGCTATGCTTGGTGACCGAGAGAGTACCGAGCGCATGAGGAGATGGGCGGGGTCTTTCAGCATGGGAGGGTTGCAGGACTCGAAAACAAGCAACGGCTAACCCGGCTAAAATTGGCTAGTCGTCCGATGTCGTCTGTCAAACCCTAAACCCTAAACCCTAAACACTAAACCCTAAACCCTAAACCCTACACCCTAGCATTAGGAGCCGCATGATTGCACTCCAGCTGGGAGACGGCAGTTTTCAATGTGAGACCTCTGAGCTGGACGTGGTACAGCATACGGCGGAAATCAGCCCAAGCCTTAGCTTCCAACCCTTGAGGATGCGAACATGGCACTAAACCCCAAACCCTAAACCCTAAACCCTAAACCCCAAACCCTAAACCCTAAACCCTAAACCCCAAACCCTAAAGCCTAAACCCTAAACCCTAAACTCAGGTACTTGCTTGTGCCGCATGGAGGGCTTTGCGCACGGGAATGTGCTTGACATCGATCTCAAGTTGGCTGAAAGTCCTGCGAGCCCATCGAGTTGCTCTCTTAGACCAGGCAGCGGGTTTAGGGTTTAGGGTTTAGGGTTTAGGGTTCAGGGTTTAAGGTTTAGGGTTTAGGGCTTAGGCAGCGCCATTGATATGAATAAACGTACCAATATGATAGAATCATCATACGAATTTAGCTTGGACGATACAATAAATCACAATTATAACGAGAATAATATTAAGAAGCAGATTTTTTACCAATAACACTCATAAGAACAATGCTCGTGTCGCAGGATTTTGGTGTGCCCCCGGCTGTTGCAAAGTGCGTTGTCTGAGGTGCTGCCCAGCCTGCACCTGAAGAAGGCCCACGGCCGGGGTCAAGACTGTTGTACGGGGACCTAAACCCTAAACCCTGAGCTCCAAACCCTAAACCCTAAACCCTAAACCCTAACCCCTAAACCCTAAACCCTAAACCCTAAACCCTAAACCCTAAACCCTAAACCCTAAACCCTAAACCCTAAACCCTTCACCATTCCCGATACTTGAACAGGAAGCCCCGGAGCATGGGCAGTTGACAGCTTCAGTGCCTTGACAGGAACTTGTAACTCAGCGTTTAGGCCTTTGGGTTTTGAGGACCCTCATCCCTGAACCCTAAACCCTAAACCCCTAAACCCTAAACCCCAACCCTAAACCCCAAACCCTAAACCCTAAACCCTAAACCCTAAACCCTAAACCCTAAACCCTAAGTCCTAAACCTGGGGTTTGGGGTTTCGGGTCTAGGGTCGCGTAGTCACCCACGTGGAGTGGGTTTTTTATTGTGGGTTTTGGTGCCGTGAGTGTATAGTGTTCCTAGAAAATTTTGGTGAGTGTTTATACATATGGCATATATATATATATTCGATATTGTCAGTGCTCAAAACGATGGTCCCTTTTGGGGCCGACAAGAAGCTATAGAAGTTTCGAGTATATAATATATACCTCATATATATATATGTATGTATATATATATATATTTATATTTATTTATTTTATTTACGTATGGGTGTCCTTTTTGGGATATCGCAAAGAACCTGCTGCACATGGGAGGTTCTCTACATTATTGTCCCTTCTTTGCTTGCAGATGCCTTATAGACTTAGCAAGGCCCCTGCAAAGTACGTATTTGGTCGCTTCAGACTTAGGGCACAGCAGTGCGTCTAGACTTGTATGTATAAGCCCAAGCAGAATGCGGGCTGCACTGGCCGCATACCACACCAGCTGAGAACCCAAAACCCAAAACCCAAAACCCAAAGCCCAAAACCCAAAACCCAAACCCTAAACCCCAAACTCATGACTAAGGCTTTTCGAGAGAAGCGCGCTGCGACTTCGAAGTTCTGACTGTCTCTGCCCCTACCTGGTGCCGGGAAAGTCTCGGAGCTACAAGTTCTAGCTGCATCCCTAAACCCTAAACCCTAAACCCTAAACCCTAAACCCTAAACCCTAAACCCTAAACCCTAAACCCTAAACCCTAAACCCTAAACCCTAAACCCTAAACCCTAAACCCCAAAGGCTGGCCCTCACTGTTCGCGCAGGTGCCAGCGCTGTGGCGGCTTCCTGTGGGGTTTTCGAGATCAAGGCTCATGCTGCAAGAGGTGCTCTCAAATCGATACTCGGCAAGAGTAAAATCGCGCGATCCAAGGTTTTCATGGGAGGAGATAACATAAGTAAATAATAAAATTCACAAACAAATAAGTATAAATATAAACAAATAAATATATGTATATACACATATATGTATTTGTATATTCAGATTACGATTATCTTTATTATTATATTATTGTTAATATTGTTTTTATTATTAGCATTATGAGTATATCGGCAGCCGGGCTGGCCCAACGGGGGGTGTAGCGCGCGCAGCGTTCCTGCGAGGGGTCCTGCGAGGGGTCCTGCGAGGGGTCCTGCGAGGGGTCCAAAGGGGACTTTGTCCCAGGGCAGGCCCAGAATCCTGGTCTGCTCGTTCTAGACGCCTCTCGGCAGGAAGCCGAGGCTAATTATATATATATATATGCTTATATATGTATATGTAGATATACACATATAGAATTGTGTACATTTCATGACATAAATAAAAAAATAAATGAATAAATAATATATATATATATATATATAAGGATAATATACAGACATACATACATACAGAATAAACTTGTGTGTGTGTGCGCATGTATATATATATATATTGTAAACATTGCATGTGAAAAAGCAATCTGACATGAGAACGCTATGAAGACGTGCGAAGGATTGAGCCCTGCGCGCGCAGTCAGCCGCAGTCAAGGTTTGTAGCAGCTGTACGGCTTCCTCAGACACTTGCAGAGGCGCCTTGAGCAAATAGAGACGAACCCGAAACCCTAAACCCTAAACCCCCCAAAATGAAAAAAAAATCCTTATAAGGGCAATATAGGGATTCATATTTATATTTTTCGGGGTTCTCAAGCAAATAGCAAAAAAGACATCTTCTCAGAAGCAGCCTGTGATTGACCAGGTGCCGTCCGCTTGTGAGCTTCTCCTTCATACGCCTCCCTTTAGCTCGCAGTAGTATCCCTGCGCCGGGGTGTGAAGCAGAAGAAAAGCCATACAGTGCACACAGTCACTCAACAGCAGCTTGATCACACCCCGGCTCTGTAAAGCCATGTCGCACTCCCTGTCAAGGGCTCTGTGCTGCATTAAATTTGCACCGAATGATTGTTCGTTCACATGGGGAACTCGTACAGTGCGTTCCTGCTTTGCGTCTTGCTGGAAACAGAGCTTTAGGGTGTTCCCCCTTCTACTAACAGTCCTGAATAGGGAGTGTAATAGGGGGTACTAGAATTATAATCCCATTAAGGACTGTTAGTCAAGGGGGAAAAATCCCGAAACAGAGCCACCATGCAGCAACTCAGCGTCGAGGTGGCACGGTCTTGCTTGCCTGCCACACGTTCTGCTTTTTGCCGGCCACCCTAAACCCTAAACCCTAAACCCTAAACCCTAAACCCTAAACCCTAAACCCTAAACCCTAAACCCTAAACCCTAAACCCTAAACCCTAAACCCTAAACCCTAAACCCCAAACCCTAAACCCTAAACCCCTTTCAGGTTCAGCCTCCGAGCCGAAGGCTCCCCGGAGGCGCTCTGCATGCACCTACATGCCCCCCCCCCCCCCCCCTGCCTTGTTCCCAAGCATGTAAGGGGTCAAAATAGGGTTTAGGGTTTAGGGTTTAGGGTTTAGGGTTATACCCAAAAAAACCTACAATGATTCCGATTTATAGAAGCCCCAAAACAGTACCCCCCGACGTTCCGGAACCCCCCCCCCCCCCCCCCCTCGATTTTTGTTGTGATGGCATGGCAGGATGCGTCCTCTGGCATGCTGGTGCTGCGTGAGGCCGACGGCTCTGCGCACTTCTTTGCTGGCTGCTGTTAGGGTTTAGGGTTTAGGGTTTAAGGTTGTGCTTCCACGACAGCACATGTATGCGAATGTGACATGTGACGTGCAAAGCCTGGATCCGCCGCAAAAGCGACATAGCCTTTAACATGTACACTTTGTCAGTTTGCTTGGGAGCCGCTCTAGAGGATCTTGTGACTCGGGTCTTTCTTACTGAGCTGACTCATCCAAACGCGCCCGACAGTTCGAGCGGGGCCGAAGCCAAGTTTACAAGCGCTGGCGCAGGATCGCTTGGAGTTCTTCAAAGGCAGAGACAGCCTGATTTCGGCCAGGCACCCTAAATCTCAGATTCCACGCAAGGCGTGGCCCAGGGAAGCCTCGTGCGTGCTGGGCAGGTCATCGTCGATCGTGTCAGCATGTGCCACCTAATAGGACCATTTCCCACATCATGGATACCTCTGTTGGAGATCTCTATCAAGAGATTCTACTATATCTGAGGTATGCACGTTTATATTACATAAGGCGGACCGTGTCTTCGGATAAGGATGATGAAGAGCCAGATGTGAACGCGTTCATCCGAGATATCGAAGACTTGGAGGCTCCTTTGCAGCTGGCAGCTGTAGCACAAGCACTTGGGGATTCCCTCAGTTGCGGGCCCTTTCTTTTCTGGAGTCGCAGCAGATTGGGTTTGAGGTTTAGGGTTTAGGGTTTAGGGTTTAGGGTTCATAGTTTAGGGTTTAGGGTTTAGGGTAACACGAGCAGCATGCTGACAGCGCAAGAGGTCGCAGGATGTCACACTTGTAGAACTTAGAAGGTTCGTCCCCGGGCCCCCTTTTGACGACATCGAGCTCTTTCGGGGAGCCCCATGGAATTGAGTCAGTGGTGCCGCAGGTCAAGGAGGATAGCTTGGCGGTACATCTCGTAGACCAGTCGAGGAGCGTTCGAAGCATCTCGCCACCCAGTCGCTCTCAGTTGCTGTCAACGGTGCTTCGAGGACCTTTGAACTGTTTGCCCCGCAGGGCAAGACGATGGAGGCCTGAGTCAATCCCTTCATGCACAGCCATGTATCTGTGTGCGCCGCGTGCCTGCCTCAGCTCAATGCCAGGAATGGTACTCTGAGCTCCAGCACGTTTTTGAAGAGACGGCATCTGCCGGAAGCATAGAAGCAGATTACATAGCCATACTTGCGACACATGGTGCCATGGGCGTTAGAGCGAGAGCATAGGAATCTGTTTGGGTTGTGACACATAAGAATAGTATCTTCTTTGTTTTAACAACCGGAGTGCTTTGTGTTAAGAAGTTGCTCCGCGTGCGACCTGTCATCACATCTGCTGGTTTTCGGGATGCATGCATGACAAGAACCTGCCTGCGCCCTCAGACCGCGAATGATCAGAACTCGGTTGATGAGGACACCATGATCTGCAAGGTTCCTTCATGTTCATGTGCTCCCCTACTAGCCCCCCCTCTCTACTGCCCCCGTAGGTTCCCCCATAGTTAAGGCTTTTTAGGGATAATTAAGCCTAATTAAGGTTGCGGATGGGGGTAGTAGGGGAACTTATGACATGTGCTTATATGCTGAACATGCGAAGTCGTCTTGCTTGCAAAGAACTGCATCTCACCTTTGTTGCAGACACTGTGTGCAAACGGGGACAGGCCTGTAAGAAGATGATCCGACAGCGGAACTCACAAACCTTCGC